AAAATATTTCATTCAATGAAAAATTATTTAACTGTTTTGCTTACATAGAACTTTGAGACAAAAAATATTTAGAGCACTAACTACGAACGATAGTCGTTAAGATGTTTAACTTTACTTGAACAAAAAAAAAAATATCGTCTTGCCCGTTTACAAAGAGAGTTGAGACCAAAGGAAACTATACTTAATATTTAACTAAAAAACTTTATTTTTATTTTTTAGTTTTAACAGTCAAATAGTAACCGTTTAAAACAGCATGATAATAATATACGGTGTTAAAAACAAGTTACCCCTTAAAAAAGACTAACCCCTAACCTGAAGGGATGCTTTCAACTCGAACGTGAAAAACAAATTCCTTTGTTTATACCCATTTAATATTTGGATAATAAGTGCAATTTATCTGCACACGTGTTATGTACATAAACAAATTTACTTTCCACACAAATTGTTGTGCCCTACACTAAATTCGAATCACCTGCACCTAAAGCGCGCAGCAACATAACAGGTACGCTTCGAGTTCGTACATAATATTATATTTTATGAAAGCGAATGTCGTTTTCAGGCCACTTATATTCGTTTAACTGTTATTTCATTCATTATTTCCTTGAGGGTAATTTATTCAAAGCTGCTAATCTGAACGAGAACCGGTTTTGTGCGGTGACTACAATAATATCGTCGCATTATTATGCACGCCTTGTATTTGCCGTATTTGCCAACCGCTTTATAAATAATATTATAGAACACTATATTTTATATCTATATACATTATATTATTATGCCGTAAGATGATAATAAGTCAACTTTCAAATTCGATTCCGGCAATTTCGTTACAAAACAATTAAAACGTGCACGTACTGTGTTTAACGTGTCGATTAACACTTCAATCAATTAGTGTGTTTTTGGTCACATTTCTAAGCAAAACCAATGCCAATTAGTCGCGGTTCGATAGACGTTTTATGTTTAAGTTTCATTTATTCTCCGATTAGCTCAGTCTTCGAGGATTTTCTCTTGGCGACCGTTGAATTGGCTATCAAAGATATTATGCTATTGAATTGCAACTGACTCCTAATATATCTCGGGTGGTTTTCATAGTACACTTCATACGATAGTCATATATGTTCAAAATCAAATTCACAAGTAGGTGTAACACTGTTTGACATTTCATCACATACAAACTTTATTAGACAGCTAATTTAATAGCCACGGAGAAATCAAATTATTTCTCAATCGTTAATCAGTTGTAACTCCTTCAGGTAACTTATAACATTTATTTTTCTACTTATTTTTTGAGATTTTTTTTTTATAAATAAAATATGACCTAAAAATGTACTCAAAACGTCCGGGGGATATCTCATAATAATACATGGTCAAAAAAACTACCTAATATAAATTAAATATTTATTTAATACCCATTTGGGTTCATTGGTGAATTATTTTGTTTTTTTCAGTCCTCATTATTCGTTTTATTAATTATTTTTTTCCCAGATTGGCGACCAACAAATCTCAGTTAAATGTGCAAACTTTATTCTACAGTAACTATATAAGTCCACGATGACCAACAAGATCAAAACTTGGCATTGATCATTTTTTTTTCATGTATTTTTTATTCAAAAAACTTTATCGTCATAAAGGAATGCGTTAAAAAAAAAAATTATAATAACAACAAAGTTGTTAAACGAGCGAGTAATTTTTTTTTAGCGGAAATTATAATAAGCTGGCGGCCATTTGCACGTTGTATATTGTTGTGTTTCGAAGGTGGTTGTCGGATTAGATGTGGTAAACAAAAATAAATAGCAAAAAAAAAAACCACTCGAATCAAGTGGCCGTAAAAAAAGATACAAATGACGTTGCGGCAGAAAAATATGTAACAAATATAATCAATAATATTATGTTTAAACAATAAACATTATTGTAATGAAACTGAATATTTGAAGCGACAAGTATTTTGCACAATTTTGGAGGGTTACTGTTAAGGTCGTTTAAGTTTAAAATTTAGCACAATAGGTGAAATGCGCACAGATATAAACAACACCACACTCCACCCTTCCGGCTATGTGGAAATAATTTTCGTTAATCTCTGGTGAATTATTCTTCAAAAAAAAAACAAAAAATCCAGCATTTAATAATCAACATAACCGGATTGCTAACCGTGGGCAAATCGAAATCAGAGTGGCATTAATTATTTGCAAGTGACTTGTCGTCGGGTGTCTCATATATATTCAGGTAATGTGTAACGATTGTTTTTTAACGTTGTCATCGGGAGAGCATTTTTCTTTTTTTTTTGCCTTCTATGGAAACGAGAGGTTTCTCTTTTCGAACAGTCCAAAATTTTGTATCCACAACTGTGGCGGAAGTCTTATCCTCCGGCGGTACAATCAGGTTGACAAACGGGTCGGGGCAGGATCTATCCAAAATATAAAACCACCTTCTAATGTTAAAAACCGACAAAAACAACCAAAACTACTACATAGTTCCCTTCCAGCTATGTATGTTTCTCGTTCATACAAGTAACAATCGTGAACGATAAAATCTAGAAGCACAGATATTCAACCTTTTAAACAACATAGACTATGTTACATAGAAATACCTATATTCCTTCTGTTTTGCAATGCGATCAAAGCATCAATTTCTTCATCAAGCATCAGCTGTAATGTTATCACCATCACCCTTCGCTAGTAACTTTAGTTCAAGGTTTACAGGTCCAAGGGTGGACAAATAATCACACAATGCTATGTTCAAGTATAGGTTTTCATTCGTTCATATTTTTATAAACGGTTTAGCACAAACCACAAAAAAAAGAAATTAACGCGCAAGTATAAAATAAAATCAACCGAATATAATTTGGGGGTGCTCAGCATATGCTAGCCCGACCAATTAGCGCCTATGGCCACTATCCATTGAGGGGAAGGGGTTGGGGGTAAAAATAAACATTGTTAGACACAATATAGTATTTAACTATTAAGCACTGATATGTATTACCGAATAGGGTTTAAAGTGAAAAATCAACCGACGAATATTTACATGTATTTTTTACACACAAGTATCGAATGTATGTACGGTTTTTGTACGCATAACACAACTCGCCAGCGTTATATTATATAAATACACGTAATTTGTGTGTATTTATAAGTCATTATATTTTATAATTCGCCTTTAGACCACTTTCACCGGGCGAACGTTTCGCGCGCGTTTACCGGCGTCGCTGTAGGACACCTTCCTGTGTACAGTACAGTTATTCAAATTATTGTCATACTTATCATCATAATTGTTTGGTACCGTAGAGTAATTTATTATATTTCTCGAATTTTCGAAACGGAATAGATCACCAGTGCGGCCCCACATTGTCGCGGCGACCAGAGTTGCACTTTTGCACGGCTCTGTTGGAGGCGCTACTGTTCGTGTGATCCGTCTATCTGGCACGCGATACAGGGAACGGCTTCTCCGTGTTACTCTACGGCGTTATGTACACATAATAATATACAATGTGTGTGTACACATATTATGATTTCTGTTGCCGTCACTTTTTCGGGTTGCCCGGTAGCGGTCAAACGCTGTTGGTCTAGAACTAGGTCACGTCAAACATCATAGCAACAGCACACACAACATAACATACATACATGCGGTCTTACAAACGTGTTTATACAGCTTCTCGCCCGTCCTGTGTGTGTGTGCGTGACGCTTTGGGGGTAGACGGATGAGAGGCCTAGGTCGATTTCCGACAACCGTCTTTGTGCAAATCCAAAGTTACCTCTTTTTGGACAAGGTTTTGACATTTTTTAGCTCTTTGCTCTGGCACATAACCGAAAAATAATCAGCCATTTTTCAGCCGAGTCTGCAACCGCGATAGAACATTTTCATGTCTCGTCGAAGTACCGAATAAATTTAGATTAATTGTGGAATTATAATTAAAAAAAAAAAAAAATTACATGGAGCTTCCAGTTACAGCATAAGGCCTCCTTGGCTTATCTCCTTGATTAAAAAATTATGTACAATCAAGTTTTTGGCTAAAATTGTAATGTTTATTATCTGGCCAAAAGTAAATTAACATAGAGAAAGAATTAAACTATTTTGAATTTATTATTCATTTCTATTTTGAACATTGAACGTACAACATATCTCTTATCTCATATCAGGTAACCGTTATTTACTTAGTAACACTAAGTAAATAACGCTTTTTTCGGTTATGTACCGGCTAATTCTCAACCCCACCCCCACCCCTTATCTTCTACCCCTATTTCCACATCCAACCCATCTCCGTGTGGTAACGCTTTTTTCGTTACGCTTTTTTTCGGTTATTTGCCACAGCTAATTCTCACCCCCAACCCCAACCCCATTCCCACCCCATTTCTTTTTTGGTAACGCTTTTTTCGGTTATGTGCCAGAGCTAAGACATGAAAATGTCAAAAAGCCTAACGAAAAGCGTTACCACACGGAGATGGGGTTGGGGGTCGGAGATAGGAGGTTGGAGATAGGGGTAGAAGATAGAGAGTCAGTAGGGGATAGGGGTAAGATATAGGAGATAAGAGATGTGTTGTACGTTCAACGTTCAAATTACAACTAAATGATAAATGCACAATAGTTTAAGGGCATACAATATTAGCCAGAGACATGATGTTTTAACATACCAGCTTGTTACTGCTTCTTAACGTACGTACTATATCCGTTATGTTCAACGCGACATAAAAATGCTGTTTCGCGGTTGCAGACTCGGCTGAAAAACTTTGTTTTGCCGAACAGCCCAGACTATTCTGGGCCAAATAGCAAAAATCCGGGTTTTTATGCGAGGCCTGCGCGGTCGACAGTCGCCGTGACCGCCACTGCTCGCTGGCTCTCCGGTTGAGTGTACGAGGTTCCTCTACACGTGCACATCACGAGTGTCGAGCCAATATTTATTTGACAAACGAATAAAACGTTTCAACTGCGCCATAAACGTTGTGCGGCATCATCGACGCGGCCGGTAAAAATGTAACAATAATAATAATGCATTAATTGAATTCACTCACGGGTATTTGAAGCAGAGACCCGTTGCTGACCTTTTGGTACCCGTACAGCGGCACAACCGGCACGGTGCCGTTTCTCAACAATATCGGCCCTTGGATCGGGGTGACTTTGTTGCCGTGATCGTACCACGACCCGTCCGCGTAGTAGTCCAAAGGCTGCTCCTCTTCGTCGTAGTCCAACACCGCGTGCACCGACGTTTTACCTGTAGACAAATAATTGCACAAGTTTTAACACGGTTGACGTTCCATAGACACACGGGTGTGGTGCAGAACAATATCGACAATGGCCAGACTACAATAATTGCAAAAAGACACTCCGTCGCCATCGATTAGGTGCGCGTGTGGGTCGATAAAGGACAGGCACGGCGCCAGAATTTTTGACATTTTCATGTCTTAGCTCTGGCACATAACCGAAAAAAGCGTTACCAAAAAAGCGTTACCAAAAAAGAAATGGGGTTGAAGATGAGGTGGGCATGGAAAAGAGGTGGAATTAGCTATGGCAAATAACCGAAAAAAAGCGTAACGAAAAAAGCGTTACCACACGGAGATGGGTTGGATGTGGAAATAGGGGTAGAAGATAAGGGGTGGGGGTGGGATAGGGTTGGGGTTGGGGACAGGAGATAGGGGTGGGAGATAGGGGTGAGTGATAGGGACGGGAGATAGTGGGTAGGGGATAGGGGTAAGATATAGAAGATAAGTGATATGTTGTACGTTCAACGTTCAAATTAGAACTAAATAATAAATTCAAAATAGTCTAATTATAAAAAAATAGTCTATATATTAAACTATGTCAAGTTACTTTTGGCCAGATAATAAACAATACAATTTTAGCCAGAAACTTGATTGTACATAATTTTTTAATCTCCTTGGCTTATGCTGTAACTGGAAGCTCCATGTAATTTTTTTTTTTAAATTATAATTCCACAACTAATCTAAATTTATTCGGTACTTCAACGAGACATGAAAATGCTCTTTCGTGGTTGTAGACTCGGCTGAAAAACTTTTTTCCTAGGGGGGCGGACAAGGTCAAGTGAATTTTTTGGAGGGGCAACCACAATAATTTTACCTACTTCTGTCGATAAAAAACAATTATAATGATTTATCAGTGAACGACTTTAATATTTATCAGTGAAATAGTATGAAATATGAATTTGTTACAGATTAAGGGACAATATATACTAGTGTACAATTTAAGTAAGGCGACTTTTTAAAATAAGCGTTATTTTTACCTGTCGGCCATCATATAGCTCTTATTGTACTCTATGAAAGTCCAAGTAAAAATGAAGGCTTATAAAACGACCAACGACCAGTCAGTGGAGATTACAGTTATCGTGTTATACCTACATTCTATTAAACCAAAACAATCCATCAATAAACACTGAATTTATGGAAAACACACACACAAACGTAAATATTATAATTATATATATATATATATATATACACCAAAACACATAATTATATGGGCGACGGATTATTGATAACCGATTGCAAAAACACTCAAAATATATTGATAAAAAAAGGCCACATTTGGTGGCAATGTCATAACTAATAACTAAATTTGTATAGATAAACAGGTTTAAATCAAAACAACAATTGTTTTCACAATTTCCGTAATAACTAAATTTGTATATAAAAATACAGTTATTCAAAATGTGGGTTTTAGGAATAATAATCAAATATTTAAAATTATACTATTTAGCAAAATATCTGGGGGGGGCGAGAGAAGGGCAAGAATTTATTATGAGGGGGCGACCGCCCACCCTCGCCTTATGGTTTCAGACTGTTACGGTTTATTTTTTATTCGTCGAAAACATTGAAAGAAATGTTCAATAGGTCACGACACATTTCTAACGTTTTCTTAAAACTATATATTTTATCTATTTTTTGCCTATTTAGTGAAACGAAAACCGGTTGTGACGTGCACAACTCATAATATTGTACAACTAGTTTAAATACATAAAAAAAAAAAAAAAAAAACATAATATACCTAAAAAAAAAAAAACCTTAAAACTTGTTAATATAATATATTTTATCTCCTTGACGTTTCTTAGCAACTTGAGCAATTAATAAAAATGATAAAATCAGCAAAACGATTGGATTGAGACGAAAATATTCAAGCAAAGGTGTTGTCGAATGAACATATGAGTGACAGTTGTGGAGTTTGAACAGTTTTAGGATTGATTACACAATTTTGTTGAGCTCGAAAACTGCAAAAGTTCCAAGCATTTGAGAATATATCGACTAAAATGTTGCCCCCCGGACAGTTTTGAAATTGTCAGTTTAACACCTTTATCCACTCATCCCTTCAAATAATTGTTTTCTTAATTTAAAAATTCATTCGTATATGTTACCATTTAAATTTGAAAAGTCAACAAAGCAAATACTGAAAAATAAGATAAAAATTCAAATAATATTGTCAAAGCCTTAGTTTTAAGAAGAAAAAAATATTGAAGTCTTAATATTATTGAGTGTAAAGTCATTAGGTAATAAAAGTATAAATCTCCAACAAAGTCGACAGCAATAAACAATAAAACAATTAGTTATATTGTTCAAAAGTCTTTCGACCGGAGCCGAGACAATGTGCAATGCATTTTATACTATATTGAAATTTAGATAGAAAATACAAAAAACATTTGTAACGCTTGTATTTTAGACAGGTACATCCCTGCTGAATAAAGTAGTAACGTTTCCCGGAAAAATGCCGCTTTTGGATCTTGTGAGTTTTGAGATTTTAATTCCTCCGTACTTAGGTACAAACAAAAAAAACGTCAAGAGAACCATATTATATATATATTTTTTTTATAGCAACAAGGCGTCGCGAATAGGCAACAACAAATACACGAATCCACTCACCTCCGTACGCGCCGCCCAGCACTCTGGCGTACTGCAACGGAGGCGGCTTGTCGCGGTCGGGCACCGGCGGCGCCTCCCTGTATCTGTCGGGCAGCCGCTGCGGCGTCGGCGGCGGCGGCGCGTAAGGCGACCGGTAAGCCGGTTGGTACGGCGCGGCCCGCTGACCGGTGCCGTACGCCAGGCCCGCCGCCGAATCGTACGCCGGTTGCTGCCCGGCAAAGTCGTACGCGAGCGGCGGACCGTTGTACCGCGGCTGTCCGTCGTACAACGGTGGACCGGCCGCGTAATGCACCGCGGCGGCGGCTGCGGTGCTAAAGTTCTGAAACTCGCCGCCAATCATGTGTGGGCCGCGGTCACATGTCTCACGCGCGGATCGGCCGGGCGAAGATCGAGACGGTTGGTCGCACGCACGGTTGTGTGCAAAACGGTTTTCGCGTACCTACGGCAACGGCCCACGGATACACGTCTCTCGCCGTCGTCCACACTGTTCAACAGTCGTTGTGCGCGCCGCGTGCCACGCCGAACGAATGACGGTACGCGGCACACGGCCGACGGACCAGTGTCGTCGCTTGTTTTGCGACCACGGGGCGCCGTTGCGCAACTTATGACGCGCGCCCGGCTGGACCGCGTAGGGGGGACCGGCGCAGCTCCTGCGGCGGCGGCGTCACAATGGTCTGAAAGTGAATTTAGCAAAAGGAAAATTGAAATAAAAGTCCAGAAATTTCGTTATTTCTTGAAATCCAACTGTAAACTCGATAGGTATTATAATATAATGTATATAAGTTTTGGATTTTTAAAATTAAGTTAAATGTGATTCTTTTGTCAATTGAAAATAGCCGTCATTTCCCATATAGCAATACCACTCACCGAAAAATACAATACATAAAAAATTGAGGTACCGAAAAAATCATACAAATTATGATATAAAAGTACCATATTATCAATACAAAGCTGATATTGTACGAATTTTTAGCAAAAACCGTAAAAGTTTATACGAAATTTTAGCTTCGATGCGATAGCTGAGATGGTATTGTATTTACAATGATGTGTTTTTATTATTATTTTTTTTTTTTTGGTGTCTACCCACGATATCTTTTAAGCCACTGACCGACTTCTTCGTGTGGGGCAGTTCTTAAGATCAGAAATCGTACCTGTAAGGTACTTTGTTAGACTAAAAATTTTAAAAGTTCATCCCTTCTCTTTCAAAATCTAGAAAAACACCCGAAAAATTTACATTTTTCAGCTTCGGTGCGAAGCGAGAAGGTATTAGTTTTACTCTTATGTGGGCTTTTTTTTATCTGTATACACATAGTTGGAACTCATATGTATCCATAACATATTAAACGGGAAAAAATTTCGGCACTACAGTTTTTTTTTAAATTGCCGGAAAACTGTGTTTTCGCAGATTGCGTATATTTTAACAAAAACACCTAAAATCTTTAAAAAAAATTTATCAAATGATACTATTAAGTTTTGTGCTCAAGTACCACTTTTGACTTTAAGTTTACACAAATTTACACGAATTTAAAACTTCATCGCTTCGTATTATTTTAAATTGCTACTTACTGCTATAGTGATTCCATGTAGTACCTAATATACCTATATATTAAATTTGTTTAACATTGGTCGACAATTCATTCACAACACAGATAGGTTCGATTTTATAAGTGGTTCCTGAGCTTACCCTTCACAAAAATTATATTTTCACACTTATATAAATTAATTATAGTGGCATATGTAATTTTTTTAATTTTAGCAAATCAAAAATTGGTTCTCTACTTAGTTTTACAGTAGTAATAAATTTGTTATCTATGAATATTGGTTCTAAGGTCTTCTAATTTTTAAAATTTTACGAAGTAACCATTTAAAAAAAAAAAAAAAATACACCTGTGTATAATATATTTTTTTCTAATATCCATGTTTTATAAAATGGTACATACAAAACGATATGTCTGTACATATCTAAACTCACAAATAATACCATACAAAACTTGACGGCTCGTTGTTTCTCAAAATCAAGTGTTTTATAGCGTACTTTTTTTCCTTATTTGTATAGGTACCTAGAATAGTAGAACCCCCATGGTTCAATAATTATAGAAAAAAACGATTTTGTACACATAAGATTTGGGTGAAAGGTTAAATAATTATGCTGTTGAGAAAATATTTCTTAGTTAAAATAAAGTGTGAAAAATCGTACATGAGATTTGGGTGAATTTATATAAATAATATGCTGTTTAAAAATATTGCGCTTTCATGCTGCCTATATGGTCTTATAGCACTGAGTTTTATTCCTTCGATCTTAGGCGTGTTCATATCCTCGCTTCTATGTATTTCTTGAATACACAGAACGTTACATTTAGTCTCTTTATATAATTGCGAAAGAAGTTGTTCTTTATTTAAATGTATGCCTTCAATATTGCAACAAGGCAATCGTCTGAGTGGGCTCTGAAAAAGGACTTTTTGTATGATTTATATATATATATTTAAAAGTTTAGTGGGTATGAGGTTAAAAGGATTATAGCCAACGGTATGCTTAGGGGCACTGCCGTTGTTTCCAGAGGGCGCCAAGAATGTACTTTGATATTCTGTTGCCAGACTAAGTGTACATTCAACGAGGAGGCTCCTTCTATGCCCCCCATTTCGACAAATTAAAGAATGATGACAAATTTAATTACTATTTTAAGATTTTGGAAAATAGTGCTAACTAGAATACAGATATACGTAAGTATAAAAAAAATTTGTTTGATTATTATTATAGGTTTTTATACAAAATTTGTATCCGCTATAATATTCGTAATAATATAGTACCACCTTGCACGCAAACAGAAATAATACTTCAAGGTATGGCGCAAATACAACAGTTCTCTTAAGGTAAAAATTTGAAAAATGTGTGTTAAAAACAGTTGTTTGCCTTTTGTCTAAATTATCAAACGATACAAAACTTATCGATAGTCATAAAAACTATATTCACCATATAATATGTGCTATACAAAATGTTACGCACAAAATAATATTATATATAAATCATTTATACTAATAATTGTAATATTACATAAATGTAATAAAATGATTTATCCATACTGAGACGAGGTACAAAAAGTACATATCACGTACACATAATATGCGTCATAGCGGTTCATGTTTTCATGTTTCAAATAGACATTTTGATTCTTTCAATTCGATTCAAATCTTCTGCTAACACAAAAGCTAACGATACATTTTATTACATTGTTACATTTGTTTGACCTCTTTCTTTAGGGTGACCATTAAAATAAAATAGAAATACTAGACCGGAGCAAAAGTAATAAATACTTTTATGTAAAAAACAAATAGTTGTATTAGACTAGATAATAAAATACAAATTTACTTATTCGGTGAACATTATTTTTATTGTTATATGTAATAGACATAATATAATTTATATGATAGGTAACAGAATATGTTATTTAGAATACATTGTTATTAGAAAAATCTGAAGGTTGAAACATCATAATTATGATAAACAAAGATGAACAATTTACAATATGTATTTTGAAATTGTGACACAGATCTTGGATACTGCAGCTTTGTCGGTAAATTTAACTGTTGTTAATTAGCTAAATAAAATATTAAAATATTGTTTAAACAAATTATTTATTTAAGTAAGACTCCTCTATAAAGGTAATAAGTACAAGGTGTTTCCATTTTAAATAAAAATCTTAGGATTTACTATTATCCATTGTTTTAATTTCGAAAAAATGTGATTTTAAACTATCAGACTATAATGTATAAAAAAAATGTTTATACATTTTTTTTATATAGAATAGTTTTAAATTTTCAGCTTAATTGAAAATAATTAAAAAAACAGCTAGTATCTAGCAACTAGTTTGTAATGCACAAAAACATATATTATTAATCAACTTACAGTCATTCGAAAAACGAATGATAAAATTGCATATTGAATTACACATTTATAACCTATATAAGTTTTATTAAAGTCTCAAAACTTACCAGGTGGATTTGGATTTTGTAGTGGTGGTGGTCTTGGTAATGATGGAGTTGCTTGTAGTGGTATTTGTGTAGAAACATAGAGACCACCTGGTGGGTTACGTCTAGGATTAGCTGAAAAATAAAAAAAAATTACTTTAATATTTTATTTATACACAGTTGTTTTAATATATATTCGTTTTAAATGGATTTTTAGGTCGAAAGTTTTCTACATTTATAAAAAAAATATTAATTTTGCAAAAAACACGTGAACTCAACTACAAAAAATGCAGAAAATTGTAATTTTTTGTTTGATATAATCGATGTACATTTTCTTAATAAAAAAATCCAAAGGTTATTACAAATCAGAATTTGACATTTTTTTAAATACAAATGTATGGTTAGGTTGAGAATTATTCTAATATTTTCATCAGCAAGCTGACAAAATATTACATAATTTGTACATGTTTTTAAATTGGGATCTCCATAAAAACGCAGAGAAAACAAAATGAAAAGAGGTATAAAAAAGGTAAAATTTCATTAATAAGTCGAAAAATCTGGTAAAAACAACAACAGTATTCGAAATAAGTGAAATATTTTTGTTGGCCGAAGATGCTATAAAAAAAAAAAAATTTATACAAAATGATACACTAAAAATGTTTTTTTATACCTGCTGAACCTGGATCTGTAGGTGGAGGATCATCTTTACCCGCATACACGGACACCATTATGCAAAATATGGTGGCTAACATAAAAGTTAAGCTTTTAAAATTCATTTTTATTCAGTAGTTATTATTATTAACTCCAAGAATGTAGAATACTATAATGGAGCAACATTAGGTTTGCTACTTACATTATATAGAGAGATATGTTTGTCTTATTTTGTAGACGAACGGAGTGTACATATTTAAATATTTTATGTATCGTTATTGTGTATGTGTTCATTGTTTGTTAAATATGTTTGGCCGTTTGAAGTACATATTGAATACTATTGTTACGAATAAAACGTGTAAACAACACACAAAATTTATGGTTTTTGGTTCTAGAACCTAGTTTAAAATACAGCCAAACATTTTGTACTGTTTTAGCAACTTATTTATTTAGTTTTGCAGCAAAGTGACTTGTGACATATAAGTAATTTTGTTCACACTTGTAGTGTAACATGTATAGGTTACACTGAAACAGTTAAATTTAAAGACCTACAGTTAAGTTAGTATTATAAACATAAAGGACTAGAAAATTATTAACAAAATCTGTTCAATGTCCGAAATAATTAAATTTATTGATATTGCCGTGTTGTTTTAACATATTGTTTAACAATGCGAGTCTATTTTATCATAATGCACTAATGACTAAGGTTTCTTATACATTTTTAAAACAATTTAATCAATTTAGGCATTTTCTTTATTTACACCAAACACTTTTTCTTAGTCCATACATAACCACAACTTTTTAAGAATAACAATTTTACAATTATTGAATACAGCTTGCAATAATGTTGTGAAAAATAACACTTTTAAATACAGATTTACACAGTCTTGAACCCAGAAAAAAACCATTTACCCATTGTATTTATTAAGCACAGTTTAAAAACTAAAGTTAAGGGTGAAATTTTTACATTTTTGACTTATGAAGTTTTTTTTCGGGTACGATCTGATTTCTAAACATTCTACATGAAAAAATCGGATCAGCGGATTAACCGGCCAAAAAAAATATTATTAAAAAAACTAAATAAGAGTACTTTAAATAGGTATATATGAAAATATTGACTTGAATTGTTAAATGTTTTCAAAGCTATAACGCGCTTGTATTAAATTCACATCTGCAAAAAACAAATTTTTTTTGGCAATTAAAAAAATATTTCTAGTGCTGATTTTTTCCCTTGTTCAATATGGTATAGATAAACACGAGCTCTACCTTCTGACTAATTATCAAATATAAGGTCTTAAAATTACGTCTATAAAACAAAAAAAGACAATTTATGGGGGAAGAGGGAAAAGGAAATTTTAAAATTAAGGCTACTGTCGAAAGGGCACGGTATGATGATGTGTGATCTATAGATATAATATGTTACTCGAAAAAATTTGTCTGGCGATTCAAAAGCTCTGTGTACAACTTTTTATAGGATAATTAGAAACTTAAGGTCAGAAAATTAGACGATAAGGTAGTTCATTGTAGCCATATCACACATATAATCGCCTTAATAATCTCTAGTCAAATTTTTTTATACTAAGGGAAAACCACAAATAAATTGGGGAAATTTACACTTTTAATTAAATTTCCAGGTTGCTATGTGTGAATAAATTCCACATTCATCGTTTATCTGAATAATATTTTAATGATATTAGCTGATTACCATATATATATATTTTATAGGGTTTATTGTTTAAATTCATAAAATATAAACAATTCTTAGTATTCTATATCATATAAATCGTATAAAGATGCTAACTAATTTGTTATATTTGGATGTATGTTATACAATTATCATTTCATTTGTTTATTATAACTGTGTTTGAACCTTTAGCTTTTTGTTACAACAATATATTCCAAAAAACACATTTTGTTATCCATCAAACATATTAAAATACCTATGTCCATAACATATTCTCAATAAAAATAATATTCACTAAACAAGTAAAATTATATTTTATTATCTAATCTATTCAAACTATTTGCTTTTACTGCCGAATCCTCCTTATTTTTTTGTTCTTTATTATAAAATGTCTATAAAGATGCGGTAAGCAGTGTCAATTGTTTAACTTTATAAGTTATAACAAATTTACAATTATAAATATTTAATTCATTTTGATTATTTAATATCTATACTCCATAGAAAAATTGTTTATTGTGTCATTTCATGCCTAATCACCTAAAGTGTGTGCGAGTGGATTTTCTAAATGCATACATTACACGTGGAGTTAAAATTACACTAATCATTTAATTGACATTTAAATATTTTTTTTTGTCTGTTAGTTGAAACATTGACCTCGAGTTAGTATCTTTTATACTATTAATTATATTATAAACCATTACAGATCACAGTAATTGGAACTATTTATTTATTTCATAAGTCAGTTAGTGTATCCGCTATTGTCTATACATTTTAAGCCTATAATTTTCGATAATAATATAATGTTGATATTGTCTACAAAAAGTTTAGTCATGTTTGTCTTGTAAATCTATTGTGGTTTATAGTAACATACAAGTTGACACCATATTTTACACTAGTCTGCGTATGTAAAGGTGTTTTTAACTATGTATATTATAACAAAGTATTATTATGTACTCAATTGTCAAGAACAAATAAAGAAACAAAAAACACGGTACCGCATAGACTACCTACAAAAGCTATGCATGTGAGCACCAAGAAAAAATATGTTTTAAAATTGTATTGCAATTGACCTAATTTTAAAGAAATAACATATCGTGTTGAATTGCCTATTAAGTTCATACATACTAACTTTATCAGTAATTATATTTTATAAATTCAGCAATAAGGAAAAATATTAAAAAACATAGGTTTTTTTATCTTTCCTACCATTATAACTTGATCCCTAATCTATATTTTTAAAAACTAACATGGTAATTGGATTTTCTCCAAAATTCGTCCTATTTCCATGTCATTAAATAATTTGAGGAAATGAATAAGCTTTATAAATACTAAATAGTATAGAAAAATGTGTTTGCTAAAATTCATCCAATAGCCTTTGATGCTGCGGCTATTAATAATAATTTTAAAATAAAAGCTTTTTTCGGATTTGTTTGGATTTGGTGAAATGTATTGCTTTACTGGAGGAATAACAATACACACAAATATATACTGAATTAATACTTCCTAACTTGCATACGAAATAGTTATACCTTGATGTTACAATTATTATTGCAAGCACCCATAAATGTTAATCGTATATCATCGATTATATTTGAAAGTGATTTTATCCGAGAGGACTAGTACAGTAGATTATAGGCATAATGTAATCCAAGCAATGAGGAAACGGAGAAGTCACAGGTCTACAGGAATTATTATAAACAAAAGTGATAAAATTGAATAAAACCACTTTCAAATAAACGCTCTGATGCTCATTTGTAAATACAGAACCTTAATTTAAAACTTTCTAACTTTGCTGGTTTATACTGTGCTTGATTTGGACTGTACTGGCTTGAAAATACTAACTACCGATTTGCATCGAAGCGTTTTTTCGAAAGTGTTTTTATCACTTTCAGATTTAAAAATTCCTGTAAACCTGTGACCTCCCCGTCCCCACCACTATGTCCCGACCCCACTGTACTGGTTTTTTCAACTTACAATTACGGCGCTCCATATCTTTTTTCAAAACAGTCCAATTAGTTCCAAATTTATATAGAATATTCTTAATGCATAGTACTACCGACAAACGTTGACAATCTAAACAATTATGGTACACCCTTTCTCCTAGAAGGGGTGGTATTTTTTTTGTTTCTTTTGCATTTTCACGCAAAGTTTTAGGGGTTTAGGTGGGAAAATTAGACCAAAAATAAATCTAAAATGGGGCTATAGCTATATACAATTTCCTCGAAATAAAAAATCTGTAATCAAACATTTTTTTTATTAAGGAAAACCCCAAAAAATTGGGGAAAATTATCACACTTTGACCGTAGTCGGTTTTTAGGTTTCTATGTGTGGTTTATTCATACTACCCCTGATTCAGTTATAATAATTCCTGTAGACCTGTGACTCCATCCCCACTATACCCCGACCCCACTGTACTAGCTTTTTTTATTTTTTGATATAACTTTAATAGAGCGTACAAGATTATAGACCGTTATTAACCCTATCAAAACTCTTTTTCTAATACACGTATTTACTTAAAAACTATAATATCTAGGTAGATTATGAGCTCATATAACTGCAATCATTGTCAGTTTTATTTATACAAACGAAACAAGTCAACGTGGCAAAAAATTAACCACACTTATTAAAGTGAACTAATAAATCCACCTCGATTCTTACATGGAGATAAGTTTTATTTTGGAAAAATATTACAACAAGTCATAACAAAATTGATATATATTTTTTTTTGTTTTTTGTGGGAAAAAAGTTGTCTATCATTTTAAAACTGTATTAGGTTTTTGTAACAACAGTTTTAAAATAACCAAATTTAGCTATAATATTTAAAGAGCTACGCCGCTTATTAAAAAACGATATCAAATTATTTTTTATTAACCCCTAACCTTTAGACTTGGAAAGGGCTCGTTGGCGGTTAGGTGTTGTTTTTGTACAAACGCTCATGTTTATATAATTTGCGGGAACGCAGAACTCAAATTCGATATCAATTTTAAAGTGATTAACCTCTTGTTTAAGTAGTTAGGAGAGGGCGTTGATTTTTTTGGGAAAAAAACGTCTTTTTACCATTAAAGCAAAGTAAAAAATTGACTTACATACCACCATATAACGACACGGGCAAACGAAAATAATTATAACCAATTAAGTAATACCTTTGTATTGCAAATCAGGTCATTATAAATGTATTATTATTATTTTTTTTTTTTAATAAATATTTCAACCTTGATTGCTATGACAAAGTCCTACGACAAAGGTGTGGTCATGTTTCATTGTTTTCTTTCGGTATTGGCTCTGAACCTAAGATATTAGGTAATGGTTGAATATTTGTTCGGACGGACCTTTTCCTATTTGCTTTATCGTTTTGACCTCTAAATCAACATATTTAAGTCACTATTCGTAAACGCAGTCTCTTGTGAAACGGACAATGGGGAATAACAACATGTCAGCGTAAAGTCACGATTTCGATTGTTGAATAAATACCCATATGGATTTATGCGGTTTTATTTCATATATTATATAATATTATACCTTGTCAAGAACGGCGGATAGAAATGATTTCTGGCAAATGGCAATTATTGCTTTGATGTCGTTGTACCTATTTCAAAATAGAACCTTGCCCGAGGCGAGTTATTTCCAAATTAGATTGGAATATTCTCAAATTAGGTATTGACAGTTGTTTGTTTACTTTTAGAGAAAGGGGGATTCAGTGAAAAATATTACTCCTCAAGACCAAAAAAGTAACATACATAATTTAAGATACACAATTATAAATATAATGTATGAAAATGCTAAAAGTTTTTCAAATTAAAATAAATGTATAACACGTTATATTTAATAATTTACAACGTGTAATGGTCATAGATATTCTTTTAAGTTTAAATATTTGAAACCCGAGAAAATATCACTAATCCCTGTCCCCAGAAGGAGAAAAATATTTTTCTGGTGTAGTTTAGTTTTAGATCTCAAGGTTTTGAGTTGTAGTGATATCTTATTGAATCCACTGTCAAAAAAATTATAAAAATAATTAAGTGTGACTCGAAGGGTTAAGATTTTGAATGAAATATTCTTTAGATGTACCAAAAACATAACATAAACCCTTTCTTCTAAATGGGTTGGATACGTTTTCTTTATTTCAATTGTTTTAGCGCAATTGCCGATTTAAAATCTGAAAATTACACTGATCTAACATGGAGCTAACATTTTTTTTTTAAATAACTCTTTCCCTTCAAAATGGTGAAAAAGCTCCAACAAATTTACATATTTTTCAACTTACATTACGGCACTCCATATCATTTTTTTTTTTAATTGTCCAATTAGTTCCAAATTTGTTTAGAATATTCTCAAGACATAGTACTTAATATAACCTTTATCCTAGAAGGGGTGGAATACTTCGCTTTTTCATGCAAAGTGTAAGGCATTTGGGTGTGACTATGGCTATACATTTTTATAGACATACGATCAACCCTTATCATTTTTAAGCACACCATTAGGTGCAATGCTTTTATGGATATCTTTATTTTTAACTGTAAACACTGGACCTATCTTACTTGCTCTCTTAAGTATAATATTTTTTTTTTACTGCGCTTGGTTTGGACTGTAGGTACTGGTGTTTGAACCTACTGTCCGTCGAAGCTTTTGTTTGAAAGTGATTCAATCACTTTCAGTTGTACCGAATCCCGTATCCAGTGTCGTGGCTGATGTCGGTTTTCCCATGACGCTTGCAAACTTCCTGTAAAGTTTGTCGACTTACCCGCGGCTAGTGTGTAAATACACTATTTGTATTTACAAAATGATTATGACCAATACATACACTGCTAGCTGTACCTACGTCGGTTTCAAGGATTTCGGCTGGCGGTCAAACACTTCCTTAAATACGTACACAAATCACACGAAAAACATTCTCACCTTGCTCTGTTTATTAAACCCACGGCCGCATCCGCTTGCTGGCCGCCATTTTGGACGCGGTAAGTCGCGGTAGAGTGTGTTAGTGGTAACGTGGTAGTGGATATACCTAAACAACGTGATTCACGCATTATTTACATTCCATTTGCATTTGTCCGCATTGCCTTCGTTGGCCTTAGCATTGCTCAATAATTGGTAAGTGTCTATTGCACACACATTAATAACAATATGTAAACAATATAATATAATATATTCAATAACGGACCGGATATAACTGTCGATGCTGTCAAATCTTAACGAATACTTAAGGTCAATCAACGTGTCGTTCTTGGACAGATACAACATTTAACATGTAGCTGTAGAAAATTTTTTTTTGTAATAAAAAAACCCTCGACCACCGCCGAGGTCAAACATTGGCCAATAGGTTTCAATACATTTCGGTTGCATTGAATGGTTTTTGATCAAATGTAGAACAATATTGATAATATTCTATTTTGCTCGAAAAGTGAATTAAACGCGTTTAACTGCTTTACCCCTCCCCTAATCACTACGTATGCCGAAGGGTTGTTGTAACAGGCTAACCTTGCAGTGTCATTAAATTTGCAACAATTAGTATTGATTTATTTAAATGTATATTTAAAAGTATACAAATTATGTATTTTTTTACTTCCTTAATTTATAAATCATACTAGTCTAGTTATTAATTACAACTATGTCGATTTTACTTTATCCGAATAATTACAATACACCCGTACAACCTTTTTTTTTGTTTAGGTTTGGCGCTTATTATTATAGTTGTCACAAGTTTTCCAAAATGTTCAAAAAAATCCATTGCGATTACCAATTCACTATAATTAGGTACCTACACAAGCTATAAAACAAATTTTCTAACAAATGTTAGGTCTCTATTAGATACTTAAAGAATTATTTAAAGAAAACGTCACTTAAAACTACTGTTATTACTTAAATTATGTATTTTGTATACAGTATACACTTCAAGTTCAAAATATAATATATTTTCATGTTTTAAAAATGTAAAAGGTTATAAAGTTTTATTTATAAAGTCGAACTAAACTATTAGTTGATTGCGAGGTTTAATATAGGTATTTTTTATTTTTATTTTATCTTTAACTTATAACTAAATATAATTATTAATTATAATTATTATATTGTATATTATGTTAGAACAACCACAGTCATTACCATTAAATATATGAAAAATATACATATTCAAAACATCCTTGAAGTATTTGAAATAATAATTGTATTTCTTTGAGTAGACATATATAACAATTTAAAATACGTTTTATTTTAATATAATAACCAGAATAATTCAATTGTTATTGAAAAAAAGTTTATCCATGTTTTGATGAGCACTCTTCGTGGAAAATATGAATTTAACAAAACATTTATAATCTAACCTTTCTTTTTATTGAATAAGTGTATTTTTTTTTCAATGGAAAAATCGCGTTTTTTTATTTGAATTTTTTTTATTTTATTTGAATAAAAAAAATTGTAGTGAGGCAACAGCAATGCTGTACGTAGAAGTAAATTTTAAGCGTTGAAATGAAAATGTAAATTCACATAGTTTGAATAAAGAAATACAAAAACTCCTAATAAATAACAATAATAATTCATTAAGTAATAATATACTTATACGCAACGATACCTAATATCTTTTTTCTGCGGAAACGTTTTTCTTTTGTTAATTGCCCTTTTTAAAAGTTAATTTTTATAAAATCGTTAGCCTTGTACTCTTATACTTTTAATTTAAAAATATTTGTGTTATTCGACGTCATTAGTTAAAAACAAAAGATGATAAACAAGTAAAACATCATAATATTTGTATTATTTATCATAATATCAAATCGACTGTGCTAATAACATTAATGTTTATCTTGTAATTATTATTTAACATTGAATTGAACGAAAAAAAGAAGAAATTTAAATACATAAACGCAGAGAACTCAAAGAGAGCCTTTTACAAGTATAAGAAGTTCCAATTCAAACGGCCCGGTAAATAAATCAGCTGTTGCTGTGGCCACTTGAGCTTACAAAGTCTTTGGAAGATGTATCCAAATTCCCAATGTTTTCTCTTATCACATCTCTGTTATCATATTTTCGGTGTTCGGCGTAAATTAGTGATAAACATTAAGCAATTTGTAAGAACACAAGTTTTTGGTTTCTTAAAAAGTGAAATGTTTTGAGTAAATTCGATACGATTTTCTTAAAACTATATAGTTTTGAAATTAAAAAAAAATACAGTGTAACGATAAAAACTACAAGAAGCAAACAATATGTACGATATTGTGAAACATACAATTCTCAAGATACCCAAGTCGTTGAATTTAAAATTAAACGAGCCGGCATTATTTATTCAGTCTCGATGTGCTCACAACATCCGACCGCCTCGTATTAAATACCCCATGTGGTATTTACAACGAGAACGTGCCAAAGACGAACAGTTTTTGACCGACGACAATCGTGCGTTTGTCAAAGAAGCCGTTCACGACAAGTTTGGTATGCCGGCCGTAGTTCACGGGATATCCACATACGAACTGCGTTCGCCACTCGTTGAGAATCCAATTGTCACGGACAACATAAAATGGCATCCAAAATTAGATCGTACGGGTGTGATCGCCCGAAAGCTTGGCAATTACCCCATGTGGTTAAACAACGGTAAAAGTGTGCTGACAACGCTTTTCCAAGTTATCGATAACCACGTCGTCAAGTACATACCCCCTGGAGAATTCGACCCGCCTCGAAAACCGTACAGCTGTCCGAATTACAAGAAGAAACTGGGATGCCTTCTGGTCGGCGCCGAGAGTGCGGATCCACAGTATTTTACAAAAGAATACTGCGGCCTGTTCTACAGGGAAGGAATGATGCCAAAGAAATATCTAGGCAGATTTCTAATATCTCCAGAAGCCGCTTTGCAAACGGGCACTCCGCTTTTAGCGTCACATTTTCGTCCTGGAGATTTTATAGACATTCGTGGAAAAACTATCAACAGAGGTTTCCAAGGCGTGATGAAGCGTTGGGGTTTTCACGGTATGCCCGCTACTCACGGTGTAACAAAGTCTCACCGGAGAGGCGGCAACATCGGTCACGGAGGTGAAAAAGGAAGAGTCTTTCCGGGTACGAAAATGCCTGGTCACATGGGCAACAGGTTCAGAATGCACAGAGGCGCAGAGATCTTGAGAATCAATCACAAGTACAACGTCATTTGGGTTAAAGGCGTTGCATCTGCCGGCGAAACCAATTCAATAGTATACTTGTACGATACAAAATTACCGCTGAAAAAACACAAAACCGAACCGCCGTTTCCGACGTCGAGTAAATCTGAAGAAGACGATCAAATCGTAGATGCCTACAGAGATGATATGTACAAATTTACCGACCAAACTATCACTTTCGAAGAAGAAAAGTAGAATGAGCAATGTTTAAAAATAATATTTCAAACATATTACGTCATCGTTTTGTTGTATGTTTTTTTTTATTGAAATAAATAAATTCTCGAAAACATTTATTTCGTGAACTACTATTAAAGTCATTTTTTTTCTCTTTATACATAAAGTTAAATTTATTTCTATATTAACATATGTTTATAAAATATTTTTCAACCAAGTATTTTTTTTTTGTTCTATCCATAAATGAACTGGATAAAACTAAAATACGAACAACTTAATAACTCGAAAAATAAAAATAAAACTTAATTATCTAAATAATTGTGTTGAGCGCATATATGTATTAAATAAGTAAGTTTTTAAAAAAATTTCAACAACACTAAACAAAAACATAAGTAGTAACATTTTGACCAAACTTAACATAGAAAAGATTAAAAGTTAGAACACAAAAATAGTACGTTGACGTTTTTTAATCAATACGAGTAATGGAAAAAAAATCAATGAATTTAATACATAGTGACCAACGCTAACGTAATAATAATCGATTGCAGTCAAATGATAACTTACAAAATAATCGTCAGGAAACAATAAACACAAATAATGAATTAAATATAATTTACCCTTACTATAATAGGCAGTACAAGTTAATAACAAAGAAAATCATTTTTAGTTTAGTATCAAGTTATTTTAGGTCGTTTAACTTAGATTTTAAGTCTTTGAGCACATTTTGTGTATCGTCGATGTTGTGCAAAGACGATAACCCGGCAAACGTTGCGTACAATCCTTGCAACATGGCCTTGTAATTTTTTTTGCTGTTTGTAGTGTAATTTATCTGCAAGTGTTAAATAAATTTAAAACTACGGTACATTTTAATATAACTGGAAAAAATATATATATATACATACCGGTATAGTGTAACATTTATCTTGAGCATTGTCCGATTCACAGTCTGTACTCTGCGAAGACTCCAATTTTATCACTTTGTTAGGAGGATGATCATGATGTCCATGATCGTGATTATGATGGTGGTGATGTCGTTCCGTCGGCTGGTTGATACATCTTTTGTTTCGGCGAAATTGAGTATTCGGCTTCATTTTTTTTTCGCTTTCCTCTCGTTCCATGTCCCGTTTAGGACAGGAACATATTTTTACCGGAAGCACTCGACGCCCATGGACTTGGCCCCTGCGCAAAAGACATTGGTATTTGAAATATATTTAATGTTGCATTTTATTATAAACGTTTTTTTTTTACTTATTATAAATATATATATAACAAGTCTTTGTACCAGAAATATTTAATTGGGTAATTTTTTTTATTTTTAATGGAGTGATAAATCAAATTTCTTAGTACTAATTAAGTAATATAATATTGCCTATAATATAATATGACGTGACAACAAAACATTATTTAAACAAAATAAATTTAATCATTTAAAAATAAAATAAAATGAACAACTTATAATTTTAGATGCATTTCAAAATTCAAACAGTTACGCTTTACGCTTTTAAATAAGTACAATAATTTTTTATGATTAAAATCCGAGGGGTTAAACATAATATTATGGTAGATCTGACGTAATTGATGTTATAACCACTCATTATGTAACCTAACGATGAACAGTGTTCAAAGAAAAAAATATAATTCTCCTTAATTAATACACAAACATTTATGTCGGTCGAAAAATGAACATTTTTTTTTTGACCACGGATTAAGGGTGTAAACCGAAATTAATTTGGGTCTAGGGTGTATCGGGTTTAAGTAATAAAATTCTTTCGGGTTACATGGGTTTTGGTTTGGCCCATTTATTCAGGATTTTTTCTATTTAGGTGCACAGACTTGATATGTAATATACTGTACAAACATTTCGTCTTCCAATGTGAAAATAACAATGATTGGTCGGCGTTGCATTCCACCAGCACATGAAGTTTTGCAGACAAATCTGTAGGACAATTTAGAAGTGTCCGATCCCATGTCCGGTCTTTGTAACAAAGTGATCACGCTTTTACGTTTACTTATGGCATCTGTGTGATAAGAGGTATTTTCGTTATCACATCGTATCACGTGTCCCAATTCCCAAGTCCCAAAGCCTAGAAAACAATATAACATATTACAAGGTAAAAAAAAAAAAAAAAATGTATCAAATTGCACAGCAAAATTCAATAAGAAATAATTTGTCGGCCGAAACTCAATAACTTGTTTTTTTGTAAATCAAAAAAAAAAAGTTTAGAACAGCTTGCCTTTCATTTTGAATTCAACAGTTAAACATTTTATACACACCTTTATTTATCTGGTCAATCGGACTCAAATGTTGCAAACAACGTCCCACTGGTTCTTTTAAGTAGTCCGCCGCACTATACATGGGCATGGCACGAACAAAAACATTAGTGTTATCATTTAATTTCGAGTCATATTTAAAATTTAGCAATAACACCTTGTTTATGTCTATGAATATTTTCTGGAGTTTTACAGAGTACTAAAAAAAAAAAATAATAATAATAATTATACTATATTATAAGAATATTACTTACACTCCATTTTTGTCTGTAGGATTGAGAACTCGAATCTAACAACACTTCGAAATTAAAACTTCCGCCGAATTCATCCTGGCATGGTATAATACCAGTCGGCGAGGACTTCACCGAACCAGCCGTGCACGTCTCACGATTTTCTTGATCTTTTTCTGGCTAAAATTAAGACAATTTGAAAGAGCATACGACAAAGATCAAATTTGAATTTAACACATTACTGTTGGAGGAAGATTCAAATCTACAATTGTCCCATTCTCTGTCGGCATAGTAAAAGCATATTCACCGATATCATTTTTGTTTATCAACATGTCGTGGATATTGTCATTGATAAGTTCATTTAAAATCTGATCCTCGTTCCTAAAAAAATCACATTGATAAATACCAATTTTAATAAAACCTTTGTTACATAATAAAAAAAATTACATTTTATTTGATCTAAAGAATAAATTTCATAGATTAAATATAATATTGATATACAAAGCAATACATGCGAATACGTACATGTTAAAATTGTAAATTCCTTGATTACCGCAAGACTGTTGAACTTCCGTAAAACTTGGTAAAAGTTTTGTGTCGTCCATCTGATTACAATAAACCACCAAGTACATAAAATAATTAACTACAAGCTTAGAAAAAGTATAATTAAATAAAAGTTAATAACAATACCCTAGGGCGATTTGTGCACACTATCAACTATTTCGATGAAAATGTATTCTAATTTTACTTATAATTGATGAATACAGATGTTTTTATTTAATTGATGAATCATAAAACTTATTTATTAATTACCCTATTGACATTTTGAGAAATGCTCTTAAAATGAATTCACCGAGTACTCTACAGAAGGGGTGTTGAAAACAGAATGGTAAAAATTAATCGGCAAGAAAAATTTGTTATTTTTTTTTTTTGGCACAGTTATGGAAAAATGTATTTTTCTATTATTGATGGTACTTTTTAAAGAAATTCAAAGTTATACAATTTGTTTTTTTAAAGTTACGACGGAAACATTTTCATTAGGCAAGTGGTAAACACTAAATAGTTAAAGCTGATATTTTAAAATTTAATGCCTTGAGTACTTAGTAAAGAACTATAAAATATTTACCTTACTTCAATTCAAAATAAGAATTATTTTCAAACATTCCCTAACATGTTATTTTAGTCGAAATTACTTCTACAATACTATACACTGAATTTAATGATATTACGTAATTTGTTATCAAAAAAGTAAGTATTTTATTTATTATGTTACTACCCAAAACTACAAATGGGGTTATGGTTTATGAAAGTGATAATAAAAAATTTAATAGCGTTTACAGGCTTGGGAAATAGCTAATACAACAGAAATATGTTATCAAACTATATGATGAATCGAGTGAAAACCATAAAAAAAGTAACTAGAATTTGAATGTTATCACTTAGCATACATAATACCTATAACCAGTTGTCTATTGGACACGCCACAGTGTTTATCGACATAAGCACAATTCGAGAGGGAACTTGGGTATGCTTATAAGCACCCAGAGTTTAGAACTAAGCAACCCCAGAATAGTTACAGACCATTACAGTAGTAAAGTGATGGCAGTAATATTTCCAGTGCTTAAGAGAAATTGCGCCCGTGTTTATCTAGTTACCATTTAAACAACGTAAAAACAAAAATAATTAACGCAACATAAATTGCAAAAAATCAAAGCATCATTCTGATGACAACCGAGATTTATACATTATAAAGGCTACACTATTGCGGCCAGATTGAAACAGTTTAAATAACAATAATTAATATTATCAAACGAGGTGCAACAGGTGCATAGAGTGCTTCGAGTGTAAAACGTTTTGCCGTCAAGGGCGTGAGGTAGGCATTTTGCAAGAGTAATAAATTGTAGGTGAAAAAATAAACCAAAAACCAAAAATCACAACTAGCATTAAAGTCTTTTTGGTAACTCACCGTCGTGCCGGAACGGCGTCAATCGAATCGCTTTATTACTATCTGTGATATCTGCGAAAACGATTATGTTTGAAAAACTGGTCAGTCGGCACTTTCGATATGATACATAAACACTATACGAATAAGAGGTTGACGATCCGAGTTCTCAAATTTCAAGTCTAACGTCAACAAACGTATAACGACGTACGCCCATCGTCAAGTGCAAGATGTCTCAATACAAATTACACGCGCGATTAATATTAAATAACAATAACAACAGGTTTTATTTGTTCTCGATGGTGCGAAATCATATTAAAATAATAAAATCAACCGTCGTACGTACATAACCTAGAAATCTGTATACCACGGTTTAGACCACTCGGTAACCGCACGGCTACCGTACGTATTTGTTTACATTCCTCGTTAACATTGAGGTTATGTTAAAAGTTATTCGTTTTTAAACGTAAAAAGCGATACGACCGTCGTTCAACGTTTTGTGTTTACTATTTTATAATAATTTATAGCAGTTTAACAATTGTTTAGATATATAAAAGAAAAATTGCAACTCGTCTGCGAGTCCGTGAAACTTACTCCAATAGCGCATAATATTTCGAATATAAATTTTCTAGTTTTGTTTTCCCTACGTACTTATTGAACAATATGGATTCCGACCTTTACGACGAATTCGGCAACTATATTGGCCCCGAACTGGAGTCCGACGAAGAGGAAGAAGAACAACCGCCGTCTCCCGAGCCCGAACCGCAGGACATTGATGTAAATAGCGTTGGAGAAAACAAGGAAATTCGGTGTAAAACTGAACTGTGGTATTGACGTTGTAATCATTTGTTGTAGATGATCGAAGACGGTGACGACGGACCCGAAGAACCCGGTATGAGTGTAGTGTTACACGAAGACAAACGGTACTATCCGTCTGCAGTCGAAGTTTACGGTCCCGAAGTGGAGACGCTAGTTCAAGAAGAAGATGAACTGCCACTGACTGTTCCACTGATAACGCCGGTTAAACAGCATAATTTTCAAATCAAAGAACAGCATCTGCCAAACACAACTTATAACATGGAGTAATTCGTGATGATTGCATACATTTTCTGTGTATAAAATTATTAATGTGTGTTGTTATTGTCATTTAGGTACTTGGCCGACTTAATGGACATTGCCGGGTTAGTTCGAAATGTTGCCCTACTTGGCCATCTTCACCATGGTAAAACGAGTTTAGTAGATTGTTTGATTCGACAAACCCATCCAGATTTGGGACAACTTCACATGGATGCGGCCGATGCCGATTTAATGCGGTATACAGATACATTGTTGACTGAACGTCAAAGAGGTGTCAGCATTAAAGCAACTCCTGTGACGTTAGTATTACCTGACGTCAACTCAAAATCGTATTTAATGAATATTTTCGATACGCCAGGTAAACCATAGCGAATTCACACTTAAATGTTGTTATACTTATGCAAACATGTTTGAAACAACTATAATTAACATTAATAACTTAGGACATGTAAACTTTTCCGATGAAGTTACGGCAGCACTTAGAATTTGTGACGGAGCTGTTATATTTGTTGACGCAGCTGAAGGTGTTATGTTGAACACTGAAAGATTAATTAAGCACGCTATTCAAGTTAGTGCCATTTTTTTTTTTTTTTTATATTTATATATATATTTATTATTGAAGACCGCAGGACGTCAAAGGATGTAAGCAATATTTTACTTATTGTGCAAGTAACCCAAACAAAATATGATTTTAAAACAAATTTTTTCCCAATTTCTTTGAAAATAACTGTCTTAAGTTATAAGTATAAACATAGTAATATGCTTTAAGCTGTAAAATTTGTTCAATTAAATGAGTTAATTTAATTTATAGAACACGACTATAAATTTAAAAGTGTCAAAAGCGCCATAACCATCTTTTTAAAATAAGATTGCAAATTACATTTTTAATAATATGCTAATTTGTTCAAACTATACATTAATAAACAATAATGTTAATGGTAACTAACAAATGTAAATGTCGCTTACAAACTTTAGTTTAGTAATTCGTTGATCAATTGCGACTTTTAGTACTTGCCAAAATTTAGTCCCGTCGCAAAGATTTAATATTATTATTTAACATGAAAGGAAAAATATTGGTGGTACAAAAATTGGTGTAATCGACGCACTATTATTTCACTCACACCTGCGGCCGTCAATATATATATTTTTAAATGTCATTTATACTAAAATTATGTTATGTATTCATTAATTTAGGAAAAAGTAGCGATTACAATATGTGTAAACAAAATTGACAGGCTAATGTTAGAATTGAAACTTCCGCCGCAAGATGCTTATTTCAAAATTAAACACATAATCGATGAAGTCAATTCTTTGCTAAGGTAAAAAATACTGTAATTTTTTATTTATTTAAAATAATTAACGCCCAAAGAGTACAGTAAAATACATTACATAACAACAAAATGGCGATAGTAGTTATAACAAAAAAACAAATTACACAAATAGGCATTTTACAATATCAGTACAAAAATATTAACTCAATTAACTTGTACAGTTTTTTTAACCTGGTTTAAGAAGTGTAGTAAATCTATGCAAAAAAATTGCAATTTAATGTATATATTTTATGATTTATGTGAAAAATGTATCTCATTTTATTTTCAGCTTGCATTCTCAAAACGATCCTTCTCGGGTGGTTTCTCCGGTAATAGGAAATGTTTGTTTTGCTTCATCGCAGTATGCTGTTTGTTTTACATTAAAATCATTTGCTAAACTGTATGCCAATCATTATCCAGGCGTTAAGGTTGATAGTTTCGCTAAAGTTTTGTGGGGAGATGTGTACTTCAATCCCAAAACTAGGAAATTCACCAAGAAGTCTCCACACAACAGCGCTCAAAGAAGTTTTGTGGAATTCGTGTTGGAACCAATGTACAAATTGTTTGCCCAAGTAATAGGCGACGTAGACACTACTCTACCCGACGTTCTGGACGAGCTCGGGATTAAGCTGACCAAACGTGAAATGAATATTAATATCCGACCGCTGTTGAGACTTGTTTGTGGACGATTCTTGAACGACCTCAGTGGCTTTGTGGACATGTGCGTCAATCATATTCCTTCGCCGGCCGACAATGCCAAAAACAAAATCGACACAATCTACACAGGACCGCAAGACACGCAGCTCGCAAGAGACATGCTCGATTGTAACCCAGACGTAAATTATTTAGATATAAATTTACGTCCAATATAGTTGTTTTGAAAATGTTTGTGCTGTTGTTTTAGGGTCGTCTGATGGTGCACAGTACCAAAATGTATCCCACCGATGACTGTACATTCTTTCAAGTGATGGCGCGAGTAATGAGTGGTACTCTGCACGCTGGCCAAGAAGTGAAAGTCTTGGGAGAAAACTACTCGTTAGTCGATGAAGAAGATTCTCGAGTGATGACAATTGGAAGACTGTGGGTACACGAGGCCAGGTACAAAGTCGAAGTAAACCGAGTGCCGGCTGGAAATTGGGTACTGATTGAAGGTATCGATCAGCCGATTGTTAAAACGGCGACTATTACTGATCTGATAACGACTGACGACTTGTATATATTCAGACCATTAAAATTCAACACACAATCGGTTATAAAAATTGCTGGTAAAATTGATTTATAATATTATGTTGTCATTTTAATCTTAAAACATATATATATATTTTTTTTTTTTTTATTATTATTATGAACCTGGTGATCCCCGGTTAATATGTATGTGTTAATTATTAATTATTGTTTAATAATTTTTAGTCGAGCCTGTAAACCCATCGGAATTACCAAAAATGTTAGACGGATTGCGAAAAGTCAACAAGTCTTATCCGTTGCTTGTGACTCGCGTCGAAGAATCTGGCGAACACGTTATTCTCGGTACTGGTGAACTATATTTGGATTGTGTTATGCACGACCTGCGAAAAATGTACTCAGAAATAGGTAAGATTGAAATAATTCTGCTGTTAAATATGGCAATGAATATATATATATATTCATTCAATATATATATTATATTTTTTCAACAGACATAAAGGTTGCCGATCCAGTTGTTGCTTTTTGTGAAACTGTTGTCGATACATCGTCGTTGAAATGTTTTGCTGAGACTCCCAACAAACGTAATAAAATCACAATGATTGCGGAACCGTTAGAGAAAGGTCTCGCTGAAGATATTGAAAATCAAATTGTCGATATTTCATGGGACAAGTAATGTTTTAATGTTAATAATTAACGGGCTTATACATATTTCTAAATCTACACCGTTCCACCATGTACTTGCTACTTCCTGTTCAATGTTAACTATTAGTTAAAAAATATTTACATAAATTACATTTCTATAGCCTATAAGCTACTTGCAAACTGAATGTTAAACTGAGAAAAAAACATGTATTGTTTTAGGAAACGATTAGGAGAATTTTTCCAATCGAAATACGATTGGGATTTATTAGCTGCTCGTTCTATTTGGGCATTCGGCCCAGACACTACGGGCCCTAACATTCTAGTCGATGACACATTACCTTCTGAGGTCGACAAGAATGTACTTAGGTCCATAAGAGATTCTATTGTTCAGGTAAGTTTTTCATTTGCAGTTGGAAAAACACTATTTGTATTATAATTATTACTATTTTTTTTTTTTTAGGGTTTCCAATGGGGTACTCGAGAAGGACCGCTATGTGAAGAACCTATTCGAAACGTTAAATTTAAAATATTAGACGCAGTCATCGCTCCTGAGCCTTTACACAGAGGAGGTGGTCAAATAATACCAACTGCTCGTCGCGTCGCTTATTCGGCATTCCTTATGGCGACACCTCGACTAATGGAACCATACTTGTACGTCGAGGTTCAAGCGCCCGCTGATTGCGTGTCTGCTGTGTACACCGTGTTGGCCAAACGTAGAGGGCACGTTACTCAAGACGCACCTGTTCCCGGATCGCCACTTTACACTATTAAGGCTTTTATTCCGGCAATCGATTCGTTTGGCTTTGAAACCGATTTACGTACACACACTCAAGGACAAGCATTTTGTTTGTCCGTTTTCCACCATTGGCAGGTATGTGCATTAACAAGTTCTACACTTTTTCTGCTTTGACTGAAATATCATACATTGATATTGTTTTTTTTTTTTTTTTCAGATTGTGCCTGGCGATCCATTAGACAAAAGCATTGTTATCAAACCATTGGAACCGCAACCGGCTACTCATTTAGCTCGTGAATTTATGGTGAAAACTCGCAGACGAAAAGGTCTTAGCGAGGACGTTTCAATCAATAAGTTCTTTGACGACCCTATGTTGTTAGAACTGGCCAGGCAAGACGTATCTCTCAATTATCCCATGTAATAATAATTACGCTTTACTATAAAAACTATGTACGCAGTGTACTTGTACTTGACGAGTTTGGGTACACCTTAGCGCAAGATGTATAGATTTATATGTTATAATATGGTGTATATATTTTGTTTTATGTTAAATAAAACATATTATTATCATAATAATGATAGTAAATGTAATTGTATTAGTAGATTGCTCTTTATAATATCTGCAAACTTATGTAAACAAACCATTGTATTATATAAATATATAAATATTTCTTTTTTTAAATTGAGTGACTCAATTGAACAAAATTTTTTTAACTCTTTAGATTGCACAACATTGTTACTCAAACAGGTTATCCGTTTAAAAAAAAGCCTTAAATATTATTAACCTATCAAGGCTACAAAATAACGTTTGATTACATTTCAATGTCGCGTAATTTAATCGGCAACTAAATTTAAAGAGAAAACATATTGTATAAATTAAATATGCAAATATATTACTTTATATCCAATTTGTTAATCGACCACTTTTAGCTTGAAGCAAAGCCGAGACAATACCTCTTGGTTTTACGACAATATGTTTTTATTTATAAATTTTTACTTCAGACGACTGTTTTGCTGAGTAATAAAGCAGCACTAACGTAGCATGAGTTTTAAGACCAACTTTAAGTTTGTTTACAACATGATGATGCATGTGAGTGTGAAGTCATAAGATGTTTAGCCATTAGTAAATATTGTCAACGTATGCATAATTTTTTAAAAAAATTTTAATGCATTTTTTTTTTTAGACCTATATCTGTCTAGTTATATCACTAAGATCTCAATGCTAAAGTAACGAGTTCTGCCGAATCGACAGCGTCGCTGGTACAAAAATGAACTTGTACCTATGTTGTTTTTTTACAAAACAGCCCAAAAATTGGTATATATTCCCAGAAAGTTTATTTATTTAACCTTGCAATATCAACAAGTCGACATGTTTGAAAAAGAAAAAAAATGTGCATTAATTAGTCTTGAACAAACTGTTGAATCCCATGACTTGGCACGAGCCAGGAAGTGGATAGACTTTTGATAGAATTGGGAAGAGAAGAAGATATATATTTTCATCAATACATATACATAACAGTGTACACTGTTATGTACACTCAATGTTAGAATTTTAATTACTTCAACTTGGAACTAAATATTAAAATTTACAATACAAGTTGAGGTAGTACTAATTTAGATTTTTATTTCTGACTTTCTGTGCTGCAAAATCTTTAATAACGCCCCATCATTCCAATTCATACTTTGTATAATGGTAATTTCAAGAGACCAAAGCCAACGATGACATCTCCTTATATTTTTCCATTACCATATTACGATTAAAGTAGTGCACTTAATTAGAATGATTGTTCACAAAGACGTTTCATAAATTTGTCCTTGCAATATTATTGTCTTACCGTGTAAAAAAATCTTACAGAACTTAATTGGTCAGTTTCGCCAAGAGTTATTTTTGCTAATAAACCCGCAGGTAATAACTACTAATTAGATATTCATTATCTATGTTGAACTAGGCGCATTATATATATATATAGGTATGCCTATAATATACCGTCACCTCGTGTTGAGTTATTATTATTTAAGAAAAATATAATAATTGTTGAAACGTAGAATTTTCCTCAGGTAAACGAGTACAACAGTAAGACAAATAAAAAAAAAATAATAAAAAATACTATGGATAATTATTGTATTTAATTGGTTGATTCTGCTTTTGAAAAAAAAACAATTTTTGATAGCAAAATAATGTGAATAGGTACAAAGTGGTTTGACGCGGATTACTTTTATTTATGTTTTTTTAATGCACACAATTAGTCTTGTATTTGTATTATCTGCTTACAATGATATACTATGTAAACTATATTATACAGAGTGTTGTAACGTGGAATAATTAAATTTCCATAAATACGAATAACATTTATAATAATTATAAACTAATCGGACATTTTGTCTTCAGCCAAACGAGTTGGACACGATTTTTACCGAATTGATTAAATTAAAAAAAAAAATTGCGCACGGTTTTTAACATAATAATAATAATTGTTGTCAATTGGAGAGATAATTAAAAAAACTGACCTTCTTCCTGTCTATATGTATAATCATATAACATATATACCGAGTGGAAAAAACTAAACATATATTTTAGGCACCTACTAATTTCCACACAAACTACACGAGTATAATAATTATATTAATTAATTACATACAGCTGTATACATTATTTTTTATTATTGCCTTGTAAAAAGATTTGTTTGAGATAATGACTTATAAGTATTAACCGCGTGGCGAATATTAGAGTAAATAATTATTTTTCTATTTCAAATGAAAACGAGTAACGAGCTGGTTTTCACGTAGGTACCTGTGTCTATCTATATATAGTGACTTTGAGAAGAAGAAAAAACAATTTATGTAGGTATACATGTATAAAGGTAATTTTTAATTTAATACAATTCAGCAGCAGCAACAGCTATAATGTGTATACACCCGAAGGCCAGCTAGTATAAATAAAAAAAAAAACGCAACTATAAGTGTTTTTTGATCCGAGACTATAATAAGTATAATATCATCCAACCGCTGTTGTATCTTATTATGAACGTGTGCAACTTCCGCCGTGTTATGTAGTCTGTTCGTCTCAAAATGTCGAGCAAAGCTTTAACAAAAATACTCCTCCTTTGCTCTGTGGCAGTGTCGCTTATCCCGTGGGAATGTGCAGCCACAACGACGGTTTATAAATGTGATTCCAGTGAGTATAATACCGACAAGTAGGTACTAGGTATACATACGGGTAAATATTATAAAATAATATGTTTGAAAACGAAAATATTGTAAAATAACAAAATTTGAACAGACCGTGTATACCTGCATTATTATTACCTACTGTACCTACCCACGCGTACAAATCAAGGATTGGAGTTTGAATTTTTGGAGGGGAGTAATTTTGAGTTTGGGGTTGTTAAAGTACAAAATTTCGACTAACATATACATACAGGTTCTTATTGGCAACTTTACTAGGTCACGTGGGAAACAACGATTTTAGATTTTTTAATGTAAAAAAAGAAAACATGGGTTTTAATATTGATAAAATTTCAAATTTAATTACAAGAAACTGAAATTTTTAAATGAAAATCCTACATTGTAAAGTAGCCAAACCACTCGAATCTCTTTACAAAACTGAAATTGGACCATCTTATGTAGTCGGTCTTTTACCGGTAGAAAAAATTATTTAAATTAAAAATAATAACTTATACAATTTAACCGGTAAATTAATTGATTTGGTGGAAATTTATTAAGTCCTCTTTTTTTTTTTATAAATATTGCCTTTACAAAACTCCTTTAAAACAGACCGCATATGCAATCCCCTTGAGTATATCAGTTTTCTAACTATTCTAAAAAATGTCACGGGGGGATCTATCCACCATATCCCCCCCTACAAATACACCACTGCCAGGGGGGGAGGTTTTATATTTAAAAAAAATCTGTATACTTACTGCTTAAAATCCCCCCCCCCCAGAGATTTTAAGATCTATTTGAGCCACTGATTATGATATTATATTACGTAGGTGCCCGTCTAATTATTATATTTAACAATAACACAGATAACACCCAAGCAATGGACGGCGTGACGTTGGAAAACTGTTCGGTGCCCAGATGTCCGTTAAAACGAAACACCACGATGCACGTTGAAATCAAATTCAAGTCGGGTAAGTAATACTTGCATTGCTGCTGAAACACAGTTGGTAGATGGTATAGTAGAACCGAAGGACATTACATTACAACAGCTATTGGGCAGACGACAAACGCTAGAAAAATGTATCCAATACACTATATATTTACCTCGATTAATATAACCATCGTAACTTAAAACCGCAACAGTTAGGACAAAATGATTTTGTTATACAACACTCATTTAATGTCCTTTATGCTTTTTATATATATATACATATAGAATTCAACATAAAGGACATAATCACAGAAGTGTACGGACACGTGTTCAACATACCGGTTCCTTTGTTAGGAGTGGACAACAAAAGCGTATGCAATAATATATTCACGGCGGACGGTGCTAAGACAACGTGTCCTCTGCTCAAAGGAAATGATTATGTTTACAAAGACATTGTCAGAATACTGGAAGTGTACCCAAAGGTAAGTAAAATGTATTAATTAAATTTCAATATCGATAACGTCCCTAAAAAATCACATTTGTATCGTTATAATTATTGTTCTTCCCGTGTGAACGTATTCAATAATAATTATTGATTTGTTATATTTAGCTCAAGATAAATGTACACTATAGTTTAAAGGATCCTACGACAAAGAAGATCGTCGCTTGTTTTGAAGTACCAGCAAAAATCACCGATTAGATTAATTATTTATATATATATATATATTAATTTAAAAATAGATAAACAAACAGTCTGATTTGCTACTGAACACTTGCGTATACACAATAGTGTATTGTATAATTTAAAAAAAAAAAAAAAATACACACAATACGATTAATACTGAAAAATTAACGCACATTATACATCTAAAAAGTCATCTCATTAAAAAAAAAAAAAATTAAACAAAAACGTATGACAGGACAAAAGTTGTAAATTTGTTTTTAGAATATTTGCAAAAAGCTATAGATATAATATAATATATTTTTTTTACTTGTATAAACATTAAAATTTCAATAATAATTCTCAGCTTTTATGAGAAAAAAAAATATTTCATTGTATAAATTATGTTTAACTGTACTGTTTTTTTTTGTATAATAATGATAAAATAAAATAAAAAAGTATGATATAATTACAATAGCGTTGTTGTTAAATTCAGATGAGAAAAATCCAATTAAGGTGTACAATAATGAGGTATAATATGATTAAATTATTTTTAAAGTTACAAATAAAATAAAAATAAAAACGATATTATATTACGTCGTAATGTCTTTTATAAATATTATTATAATAGGTTTTTTCTTTTTTACTATAAATAAAAACATAATTAAATACTTAACATTTATATAGTATATAATATATGAACCTATAGTAATAGTTATTTCGAAATTTAAATAACAAATAAAATTCATCGTTTTCATCCTTTGTCAAAAAAAATACAATCAATGGTCTGTTCAATAAATCATAAAGGGGTTATACAAACATAATATATAAACATGAAATAATTTCAATAAAGATCAATGTTTCAGTTAAGCTGAGCATACGTAGGGCTTCGAGCAAGGACGGATGGAAGTTTTTGCAAAATTCAATCAAATTAGTCACACACAAAATAGACATAACATGAAAATGAATGTGTGTACTGAATAAAAAAAATTAACAATTACGATAAAAAATAAAATATATATATATATTAGTATTTTGTAGATTATTATATAGGTATAATATGTCAAAAAAAAAAAATATATAGATATATAAATACTGAATAGTAAAACGTTAGCACAATTATTAATTAAGGACCGATATAGTATATTATTGTTGGTTTTCGAGTAAAATATGTAAGAAAATTTGTACTTGTTTGGAAGTAGACAATAAAAATAAAATTCAAAAAAAAATATATATATCTAGGGTTCAAGCGATTATTAAACAAAGCGAACAAACTTTACTCTCGTTACTATGAGTAACCCTGTATATTATGAAGTTTCTTTTGTTCGTTAATATTGATCACCGAATTAGTTTAAAAAGTATACATATTATGTGAAAACGTTTTGTCTGAAACCTACCTTAAACCTACATCAATAATTGTTTTCAAACTATCAAACTAAAGCCCATAATTCCTAAGGGTGTAATTGGGCTAAAAAAAAAAAATGGTGAATTCATAGATTAAAAAAAAAGAAGCTAAGATTCTAATGGTTTCACTATATGGCTATAGTCGATTCTGTGTTGATCAAAGCGTGTAGTCAAAAAAAAAAAAAAATTGTTCATCGTCGTTCAATAGTATGTTTCTCTCTCTAACCATCCGCCTGGATTGCGTCTGATGTAAAACTTCCTTACTTCGTCGTAGACAAACAGAGCTAACATAAACGGTATGGGAGGAATCCACCAAGTCCACCTGGAAATAAGTATTTTAGTATGTTTGGTCGCTTAAAAATCATCTATATCATTTACATAGAGCTTATTTAAAAAAAACGTATCCAAAATTATAAATTAACACCATTTAATGCAAGCTAGATTGAACTTAAGTTAATTGTTACTTTAATGAATAGCTATATTACAAAAATTGATATTTCATCACAAGTGACTTACTTCAACGGGTGCATGCGCAGAGCTTCGTCCATTCCCGGTAGATAACACAGGAACAAAGCCAAAATGGTTGTAAATATAATACTGAAATTTAAAGCCATGTTTCTGAAAATGGAACAAAAAAATTATTATTATAATAAAACAAGAGAAAAGTCATAAACAGCATTATCGATATGCTTATGATTTAATAGTTGAAAATACCTCATTCCTTGGTGCGCGATAGAATTTCTTCGCGTCTTACATACAATAAGATTGGCCCATTGTACGACCACAATGGCTATGAAGAAGCCCGTATGACAGGTATATTCCAGAGATTTACGATCTTGATACGTCTACAAAATATAAAATTAAATTTTTTTGTTTTGGGAGTCAAGTTTTATCTGTAACTCCTCGGATTATGGATAACTATTCTCACCCATTCTTGGTTGTAGGAATCGGGTAAATCGTTGACAGCCCTGGAATCCCATTCGCGGCGTATTCCTATTAATTTATAAGGCATGAATCCGTTCTCGGCCATGATGACAAAGTAAGTGAAAAATCCTGCAAACGCTTCGATCACTCCCAGCTGACCAAACGCCAAGGACATCAATCTTGAAAGGTGCATAAAAACATTAAGAGTCAATTTTTACATAGTCGAAATCGCAATTAATAATTAACTATAGTTCACAAAATGATCGTACACCAAACACAACACTACTTGCCAAGCGAGCTCTCTAATGAAGAATATTAAAAAAGATTATTATTGATTTACCTGGCATTAAAAATAGATTTCACTGGAGGACATTTTTTCATCAGATTCGACTCTCCGGTTTCAAATGCCAGTGAAATGCCAGGAAGCTATCAGCCCCCAAAAATAACAACAAAATCAACCACAAATACCTTTTTACTGGTTTTTGTTTTTTAACACACCAGCACAACCCTTAACTTAGCAGCATTTTTATCGTTAAGAGAGGTTAACGTTAGTTTACACCGTGTTAATTTTTTATTACCAACACCAGATAAGTGTTATTTAAAAAAAAAAAATCTCCTCGCCGAGTTAAGGGTTAAGATTAAACAACAGTCATATTAAATTTAACGAGAATAAATAATGTAAACATGCATGTACTTATATTAGTAGTTGTGTTACGTGTTAAGCTTTCTAGAAGAACACGCATGCATTTTATTCTATGAAACCGACGATAACATTGAGAAAGCGAAAAGCTATTGTAAAGCAAAAGCCGAAAAACATGTAATATGTAAAACGCATGGGTTCACCTGTTATTCACAAGTTTGTCTTTGACTAAATTTCTAGGCGGACGCTTCATAATATTCGATTCCGGATGTTCATATCCCAATGATATTGCTGGAACCTAAGTATAAAAAGCTGGTTCTAATCGAATACACAAAACTACTGACGTCACAAACCATTTAACCATTATTTTTTTATTTTTTTAAGACAACTCGACAAACTGACAAAACAATTACAGTGAATAAAAGCAGCAATTAAGGCTATTCCACTACTTTTCTGATGATAATATTAAAGATTATAATTAATTAAAAAAAAAAAATCATTATAATCTAATACACTATTTAGATTCTAAATACATTTTTGGGGTTGTTCTAATATTGTTAACGGCCATTCTGCTAAACAAAAAAAATTCACAATACTTTGGAACGAATTTGCTTGGAAAGAATAGTGATCGGAAAATTGTAAATTAGAATGATCGATAATATAATTTTTTTAAATAAAATACAAGCAAATAATAATATTTAAGTTTTCATTTTTAAATTATGTGCTCTATAAAGTATTCCGATTAATAATTGGGATTAGATAATATTATATTATTACCTCTTACTTTATTAGTCTAAAGTGATATGTTTTTCCAACATATTAACACACAACAACTTATTTACTAAATTGTAATTATAATACAAATATATTCAAGATCGATGATCTCAATTCGTGTTCACTGTCCCCAAAATATTACCTCGTTATTTGCTCTAATATTTTTAAAAGTTTATTTATTTAACCTTAATAATTTACCTCAACTGATCATCTTACACAAAATCTAATTCGAAGTAAACAAAAAAACATCAAACTAAAAACTTCTGCTTAAAAAAAAAAGTGTTTATCAACTTGACAATAAAAATTGAACTCTCGTATGCTTACCATATCTGTACCAAGATCAATACACAGTATAGCGATCGCACCAATAGGCAAAGGTATGCTGAGCATGATGAAAGCAATGAAAGGCAACAGCTGAGGTACGTTGGACGTTAATGTGTACGTGATAGATTTTTTCAAATTGTCGAAAACCAAACGTCCCTCTTCAATGCCAGTAACAATGCTGGCGAAATTGTCGTCCAAGAGGATCATGTCGGCCGCTTCCTTTGAAACGTCCGATCCACAAATACCCATTGCTATACCTACGGAAGATAAAATATACACGTTAAAAACATGTACTTGTTACTGAAAAGTGCATAATCATTTATGCATTTTTCAAAAACAGTACTTACCTATGTCAGCTTTCTTAAGAGCCGGCGAGTCGTTTACACCATCGCCGGTAACGGCCACTACTCCGCCGATCCGTTGACAACCTTCGACAATAGCTAATTTCTGTTGAGGCGACGTTCTTGCAAACACAATTTCTTTGTGATATCTAAAATGTTAAGTATAAAAAAAAAAAATGTAAGTATTACTACTATTTACCACCATTCTCCTCCAACATGGATAACTTTTGTAACACGGAAAACTATAATTAACATTGATAAATTAAGCGACCAAATAATGGCCTAATCTCATGTTGATTTTATAATTATTAATAAAAACTTTAAATAAAAGCTATGAATGTTTTTTTATTTTATTAAATATCAGGATTTCTAACATTTTAAATAATTTGCCAAAAATAGAAACTCATGCCTTAAAATCTTATTCTGGCCACAAAAACAATGTTGGGAATAAATATTAAATTATTAAATCCACTCAGAAAAAATATATATTTTTATAATAATTCTTACATTTTTTTTTTAAATGTTATAAAAATTGTTAAATTTAAATTAACAAAATGTGAATTTTTGAAAAAACCTAATTTATTTACTGAAAAATTATTTTTGTTTTAACATGTATGTTTGTATATAATAATTTTTATAAAAAAAACTATTTTATTTGTATTCCTTAGGTAAGAATAATAAAAGCAAGTTTTTTTTAAGTTTTTCCATGTAAGGCAATCTTAATTTTAAAACTTTATTTTTATTTTGTAACTTAATAGATGTATGTAATTATATAATTCAGTTTTTAAACTAAGGCAAATTTTTTGATTTCCCATATTTGGTCTATTCTTTAAGTATTCAAATTGCAAGCGTGTGCCAATGAAAATGTTGAAGAAAATCGACTGTTACGTATATTGTGAAAAACATTTTATATTTTATTAATTGGAAGTTAATTCTTTTGTAGGATAAAATTATAGTCTACGCAAAAAGTTATGGTTTAACAAAAATGGGTTAAAAATTGTCTTATTAGAAGTAGTTATAAATTTAAAATTAGGTAAATATTATCCTGATAATTAGTAAGAAAGTTTAATAGATGACCATGCATAAAAAGTCTCTTAAAAAACTTTTAATTAAAAAATTAATTTCTTAAAAGGGCCTGAAAACACTAGAGAGCTTTATCGTTACCTCAGTATTTCGTCCAAAACTTCGGGCGGCAAGTCTAATAATTCAGAACCATGTACAACGGCCGCACTGGCGTCCCTCGGATTGACTTCGGATACAGGAATATTCAATCGTTGAGCGATATCTTCAACAGTTTCATTGCCCTCAGATATGATTCCCACGGATTTGGCTATTGCTTTCGATGTAATTGGATGGTCACCAGTAATCATAATGACCTTGATGCCCGCCGAGCGACACTTGGCAATGGCATCGGGAACTGCTGCTCTCGGAGGATCAATCATGGACATCAGGCCGACGAAACGCATGCCGCTGAGTGGGAAATTTGGCTCATCGACATCGAACATAAAATTTTTGGGAAAACGATCGGCCGGCAGCAACATGTCGCAGAAACCAAAAACTCGTTCACCAAGACCGCCGAGTTCCAAGTAAGCGTTGTTGAACGCTTCACGCATGTCTTCGTCAAGAACTTTCTCTTTGCCGCCAATGAATATAGTCGAACAACGATCGAGTACACGTTCTGGAGCACCCTTCATAACTAACAAATGTCTGGAATCCGTGGGGTCTTCAGTTTCGTGAATAGAAACCTAAAAAAAGAAAAACATAATTAATTTCAAACATTTTAAACAAAATATATACTCCTGTATTTTTTACCTGATATTTATTTGTGGAATTGAACGGAATCTCACAGACCTTACGGTTTCTCCTTCTTATTGTCATTACATCGCCTAAAGCAAGTGTCATACATTTTAACAGTGCAGCCTCTGATGCATCTCCATTGACTTCCCTAATTAAATGTAAATTTGTAAAATTTAAGATAATCAACTATTAGTGTTTTTTTTATGACCAAATATAAAAAACTAACTTCTTTAGAATCGGAACGCCGTCTTGTCCAGCCTTAAATTCTGCGCGGCTACAGAGAGTCGCTATTCTCGCTAGGGCTCTAAAACCCGGACTAGAACGGTCATATTGCACACCAGATTGATCTTCAGTAGTATCGGCTTCAATAATTTGATTATCGAACCACATATGAGCGACAGTCATACGATTTTGAGTTAAAGTGCCAGTTTTGTCTGAACAAATTGTGGAAGTCGAGCCGAGCGTTTCCACTGCCTCTAAATTTTTGACTAAACAGTTTTTGGACGCCATGCGCTTAGCAGTCAGTGTTAAGCAAACAGTTACTGTTGCCAGAAGGCCTTCTGGGACGGCGGCGACAAGGAAACCTAATAACAAAAAATGATTCGTAATTTAGCAAGTGTATCCATCATATTTGGATTAAAACAAAAACAAACCTATCAAGAAAACAATTGCATCCAACCAGTAGCAACCCATCATTAGTGCTATAATAAACAGCAGTAAGCCTATAACTATGGCTGTTAAATTGACAAAATTGACAAAGCGAATAATCTCTCGAGCAATCGGTGTTGGGCGACTTTCTAAGCTAGACGCAAGCTCTGCGATTCTTCCCATAACAGTGTTGTCTCCACATGCTATAACAACACCTTTGCCCGTACCTAAATATCAAATTAAAAAAAAATTAAACACTTTTCTTAAATATTATCACACAAAATATATATATATCAATAAATTATAATCAAACCTTCGACAGCATGCGTAGTGGAAAATACAAGATTTTTAGTTTCCAACGGATCGTCATGAGTATATTCTGGAGTACGACTTTGGGGTTCAGATTCACCAGTCAACGATGAGTTATCAACCTTAAGCGAGTGACTTTCAATGATACGCAAATCAGCTGGAACCCGATCACCAAATTTCAATTCAACTAAATCACCAAGTGTGATGTCTTCGGCCCGTAATGTCAAAGCTTCACCTTGACGGATAACAACGGCAAACTAAAAAAATAGATGATAACATGATTTATGATTTTACTAAAAAAAAAAAAAATCCAATGATAAACTCGAATAATATATTTTATTAAATCTACTAAGCGAATCAAAACTACGAGTGCCGAGACTCTTTACACTAATTACGGTAAATATCATTGTTTATTAAATTTATATTACTCAAAAGATAAACGGTATTTAATAATTACAAAAAGCCGAATAAGTATAAGAAAAACTATGTTATAAAGCTCACCACCAAAAAAAAAAATCACCTACATAAATTAGTAGCTTAGGCAATATTAAGTATTTTAATACAATTTAAATTAAAATAAATACTACTTCTAATAATTTTTTTTTTTAAATAATATAATTTACAAACATAATATGTCTAAAATATAATTAATAAATAGAAGCGTTACTAATCCAATGAATATTGGCTGTAAGTTAAGCAATTTATCATAATCTAATAATATAAAATATCATTAACCTTCCACCGTCATAAATATTAAGTCCTTTCCTTTTCCAACAAAAGCTGCAAAAACACTTTGATTCAAAAAATATAGCACCTTCCAAAAAATAGCTTATATTTATTTTGATTATTTTTTTCAAGCAATATTATGGTGTAAAGATTTTAATAAATAAAAAGCAATATGAAAGAAATTCAACTACATTTTATTTGAATTTGAAATTTAAATAATCAAGACTTTCAGTATCATCCCCTGCTTGAGTTTCTCCAACAATAATTAGACCACATCATCATATAAATAATACAATAGTTTAAGTTAACACATCTTCAATGCAGTAGAACTAAATGAAATCTAACAGTGGCGCAACTAGACACTTGGGGTCCCGGTTATCTACAAATTCCCCCCCTCATTTAAAAGATATAAGCAATATGAGGCGCACCGCTTCCTTTGCAATATATTAAATGATATTTTAAAACAATTTACATTACATTAAGTTTTTTTTGTTAATAATTTAAGAAAACTTTATTAATATTTTTTCCAATTGCGTAAAACTCACTGGAAAATCAGAAAACAATAAAAATATTAGTTTTTACGTATAAATTGTTTAAAATTTTAAAGAATTTATTACACCTTGTTTTTTCAGTTTTCAGAATTAAATCAAAGTATAAAATAATTGTTTGTAATACATTTTTTTGATCATGTTTATCATATTCAAAGATTAATGACATCAAACATTTTGATCGTTTTTTAATCCTATTAAAATTTAAAAAGTTTTTTTAAGGTATTTTTAAAACAAAATAGTTTTTAGGTTTTCTGATTTTCAGGATTTTAACAAACTTTGTAAATTTTAAATAGTCAATAGTACATTTAGGACACCCTGATATACACATAATATGACGGGCCTCAAAGTGTCCTCACTTAGCGCCACTGAAATTTAAGTTAACTTTAATAAAACAAATAACAAGGTGCCAAAAACACCACAGACAGACCTGTGAAGTGGTTTCATAAAACGATCGGATGACTGCACCTTGATTAAGTTGTCGACAATAAGACAGAAAACCAGTGACTACAATTACAGCAATTAAACTGCAACCTAAATACATCTGCAGTAAAAACAATTAAGCATATGTAACACATGTAAATGTATATAAGCAAGCAAAAGAAGTAAACGTCTCACCTCAGCGTAAACCCACAATCATGCTGTTAAAAAGGGCACACTAAATTATACAATTTAAGCTGAACCACACCGATAAAAAAAATAAAATGGCTATATCCTGTTGCCTTACCTGTGGAACTAAATTCCTAAACGAATCGACAATCGCCGAAGATTTAGCTTGTTGGTAGTATGAAAAAATGCCTGTGATCACGACAACTGCTACTAATATTATTCCCAAATAAAACTGGTTCGTATTGTACAGGGAAAAATTGTTAATTTTCAAATTAGTTACATTCAAATGAAATACATATTATTATATATCATAGATGTATGTATAAATATCTGGGTGGATCTTATTTAGGTGTTTTTTTCTAGTTTTGATAAGTGCACCTGTATATAGTTGATAAATCAAAAAAATTCTCCTGAAGTAATTTTAACACATGCCTCAAGCCAAATACTTTTTTCCATTTGATTAACATGGGGATCTTAATATTGACTTTTCTTCATAATTATGTAGCAAAGGTCATAAATAGTATAGCTTCAGGAGGATTTTTCAGGGGTGCACTCATCAAAATTAGATAATCCCCTAAATATGAGCCACCCTAATATATATATATACAAATATTTTATAATTTAAAGTCTCGCATGGTTGTAGGTATTCTGAATAGGTAAACAAATATGAATACACATAACAAGAACATACGTAATCGTCATTTGCATCGTTAGTAGTGCTGGTTTCCGCTTTGTGAGCTAAGAAACACAAAAATGCTCCAACCCACAATAACGCCGAGAATCCACCAAAAATTTGTTTTGAAAACTTAATCCATTCAGGAGTTGTCTTCGGCGGCGTCAAAGTGTTTGGACCGTCTCTTTCCAAGTTTTCACGAGCTTTGGCGTGAGTTAATCCCTGTTGTGAAGGAGACACAAAATCAGCAGCTGTACATAACTGCTTAAATGTTATCAAATATGAAATAATTAATTAATAATTACAGCTTCAGGATGAGTTCCAAATCTTTGATAGAGCTCATCCAGCGTTATTTTGTGGTAATCCAAATTTGGATCTTGTTTCAGTTCATCCAGATTTTCGGCACGGCTGTATTTTGTGCTTACTGAAGATGGAGCTTTTCGTCTTGTCTAAAAATGAAAATGTTATTATTTTTTAATACCAATTATATTACTTTTATATATAATTATTCTAGAAATGAAAATTTCATTTTAATATACTTTTGGTTTTCCATCGACAGTTTTGTTGTCATCAAATTGAGATGGAACTGTAGCAACCCTGTACGAGTCGGTTCTGCCATGCTGCAATAAAATGTTGACCAATATTAAAATGATGTCGAAATTGCCGCTGTGTTCACAATCGAACTTGTGTGTATATATCGTACACATAAGCACGGTGATCCAAAGTTCACAAAGGCGTGATGGCTACTAATTATAAAATTACATATCGTGGGTGGAGAGTAAAATTATCCTCACCAAACTTCCTACCAATCCTACAAACTCAACATTATGCATGTCAGATAAGTAAGGTGTATTTCCACACTGCACCCTGCATTTTAAAAGACTTATAGCCCAAAAATTATACAAGCTATTTGCTCAATTTAACCTAACCTAGGAGCTGGAAAACCACTAGTTAGTCCAAGATGTATTTCAAAGAACTGTGTCAACAATATTTAGGGACATCAAACACATAGTATGTTAATATTAAGTATTATTATTTTTGTTTTTAATATTCTTTCATACTTTTCATAATTAATTTCAACAGGCTATAGTTGAGTTATATAGTTGAGAGAAAAGGTGATGCAGAATAAAATTCAAATAAAATATCTTATTTCATAATTTAATTTCCTTGAAAAAGTATAAAAAGCCGTTCATTTAATTTCCTTCATTTAAGATCTTTTTCTATTTGTAAGAAATAGTTAATTTAACTTGAACAATAATTTATTTTTTCTCTTGTTTTTTTATTTGACAAGTTGCCAAGTAACATCAATTCACTTTATTCTTCTGGAGATCTATTTTGGAAATGTTAGGTGACACAAATAACGAAGAGTCCGTACACATCTGTGTATATGTTATGTCAACCATTTCATTTATGTTCTAGCATTAAAATCGAGTAACTATGATGTACACAAGATTTTAGTCAGAGATAAACACACAAGAAAAAAATGAATGTTTAAAATTATGAGCGAGTAGTAACAATAAAATACATGTGAACTATGTGATAATATTATAATAATTTTAACAGATAATACAATTTGTTTTAAAAAAATATTGGAAGTGTCTAAAATAGACACAGACAATAGTTAACTAGTTGAATAATAAATAAAATAGGATTTTAGAGACTTTCTAATCTAGATTGTAAATACACATAATATAACACTTTTTATTATTAATGCACAGGAGACTCTAATGTGAGTTTTCCTTTCAAGTTGTTCATGCCTTATTCATTATTCTATTATTATATTTACTCATTATACATAGATTTGTATAGATTGTAAATTTTCAAATAAATGCTATATTTAAATAAAATTAAAAAAAAGAGAAAATTGGTTTTTCTTTTTTATAAACTCAGTTTGATAAAGTAACTTACAATGTTAGAAAATTTTCTATACAATAAAATAAATTAGGATTTTTTTTAAGGAAAAAATTGTATATTTAAGAGATCGTCATATCCCCTATTTATTAAGGAGTTAATAATAGGCAATTTTTTGAAAAATCTTAATTTAAAGGTTTAATTTATAATTATTAGTTTAGTAATTGGGACTCTTTTCTGGTAGTAGACTTCATCTAGATTCCCCCGTTGGCTTTTTTTTTATGTTATAAACCCAATATTCACAATTTATATTTTAATTTAAACATTGTTTACCAGTACTTGTATTCAAGGTAAAATTTAAGTTTCCTAAAAATACCAACAAAAAAACCTAGTTAAAGTTCTCCTCATTTTATGGGTATGAACAATTTTTTTCATGACCATTTTGCTTTGTCATAAACACGTTTTTTACGATTTTTTTTTTAAAGGGTATGACGTCTGTAATAAAATTAGTAATTAAGTTAAAATGGAAAAATGTTTTTTTTTTTAAACAATGAAAACTACTTTTGAAACAATTTGTATTTATGGTTATAAATTATAATAAACTATCAAGCCCACGACATGTTTCCTTAAGCTACTGTCAGGCACTTGCTTTAAGCAGTATGATTAATTGACCGCTATTGTTATTGTTGAAGTGATTTTAATTCATCAATAACTGTGGTTCAGGCGACTAGTTTTGTACATATTATATATGTATACAACAACTTTTGAGTTCTATGTGTCTATATAAAATATACATTGTAGAAGTAACCTGAACAACAAATCGTGAAATATATAGTTTATCCATATATTTCTTTCTATTGTCCGTGAAAAATAATAAAATTTATTTCAGTTGAAGCAAATTAGATATTATGTTAAACAAAGTAGTGCAAAAGGTTTAACTGTTCCAACATCAAGAATTTGTGCTACGATGGTAGTCTAAAGATATATCATAGAATCTTATTGAAATAATAGCATAACACATTAATTTTGGAAAATGGTCAGCAATCGCATTATCAACGCATTCATTCACTGGCCTCTTTTAGGATGTTTATTTTTTTAACGGTTTTGTAGCATTTACATCAAATTTTTGAAATGTTATCTACGAGTTTTACACAAAACAATATTATTATTTGTCTGTACAAAAGGAGATGACCGCCGTAACGTGCTGTGACCGATATGTGGTGACGCACGGCGCAATGGCCATCTTGCACACAATATGTCAAAAAGTTCAAGTAGCAATAACTTTTAAGCTAGATAAGTCTGCGGATTTTTGACTTTGCAATTGGTGTAAAAAAACAAGCGTTTGCTTGCGAAACAAAAAAAGGGTGTCTGGTAAAGTAAATTTGTTTCGAAATTGTAATATCTACAAATGTTGGGTGCTTGGCAATAATTGAGCTGGAATGGTGTGTGACAAATGTTTTTCGACACTCTACAAAGGTGGCAACGCATAAATTGCGACAATAATCAAATTACTTTACAACGGTACCGAGAAAAGACGTGGTGTCCCGCCCAAAAATTCCTTAACGCGACCGGACACGATCAATTGTAATCACTTACCAGGTCGTAATCCTTTGACGCCATCTCGTTCGGTTATTTCATAGTGTTTCGAACATAACTAGAGATGAAGAAAACGCGTTGAAAAAAAAAACCGTCCGTATCTTAATTATTATTATAAAAGTCCGACGCGGTAATTAAATTGCAATAACAATAAAATATTGAAAAAAACAAATACAAAACGAATAACGCCAAACGTCGCTCAGCTGCTGAGCCCGCAACAGTATCTGGCGGATGAGATGTAAACACTATAATATAACAACACAATAATAATATTGCCACCACCCACAAGCTATAGCGAACCTTTAGCCAATGGAAAAGAGCGCACGAGCCGCGCCTGAACGTGCACAATCGATAACGGTCAATAACAGATGGCGTCACGTGTGCACGGTGGCCATTGACGTTGTTTTTCCATGGCAAAAAAACAATAGGTACGCCGACCGTGATAAGCGTGATAAGCGCAAAACGGTCGCCGGCAGCCATGTTGTACACAGAGTTGGGGGCACTATTTAGATAATTTTTCGTCTGAATAAAATATTTATACGGTATGTAGGATAGCACAGGCCACACAAGCCTAGATAAATCGTGTTACTTCAAAAAGAGTAAGTCTGGACACCAGGAAATCACTTATAAAAAGTTCTTTGTGGAGCGTACTTTTATATTATATGGAGCAGACTTCAAAATAGAAGCTTTTGAAGTATGGTGTCGTAGAAGAACGCTAAAAATTCCATGGACAGAAAAGGTGAAAAATGTTTAGGTTTTCAGGAGAATGAATACTCAAAAATCATTATGGAATAGTGAATGCGCTTAGATTGAAAAGAAAAGCGTGGATTGGACACCTAATAAGGAATAATCCTTGGATAATCGAAATAAAGAGGGGAAAATAGAAGGAAAACCGGGAAGAGGAAGGCCTAGAACTCCATTCTTGACGCAAGTGATAGAAGATACTGTAATAGGAACATACTGGGAGTTAAAGAGAAATATAGGAGACAGGGAAAATTGGAGAAGACATCAATAATCATTTAACCAATCTTCGGATTGTAGCTCGATTAAATGAATGGTTAAATTCAACTAAAATAACTGACCAGGTGAATGTTATCAATAAACCGATTTAGGCCAAATATAAAAAAACATTTGGCCACAACATAAGATGAAGACAATACTATACTATATTATCATATTTTAACGCTGCTATCCTTCAAAGAATGGTTTCAAGAAAACTGAGTAAACTCAGTTAACAGTATCCACACTTCATGCAGATATCAGGACATATCCATGTATTGATGTATCTGCATGAAGTGTAGATATTCTTAACTGAATATTTTTTTTTATTCCAATCAATCATCTTAGATTTGATCAAATAAAACAATTTTTCGAATAATAAATCATCTTGGATATTTTGGTCGAATAAAAAAAAAGATTATTCGAAGAAATAATTTTAGATTTGGTCGTATAAAAAGAGATTATTCGAATATTTGATTTATTATTCGTTATTCGAATAATAATTTCCGACTCTGATTACAGTCAGCCTGATAACGCGATTTACCGGTATACCTTTGGAAATATTTTATTTCGACAAACGGTTTGCGAGTAAATATTTAATAAAAAAATATAATATTTATTATTATTTTTGAGGTTAAGCCGGGTTGTAACGAAACAACGCGGTTTTCGTTGCTTACGTTTCTAACTTCATATTAAATATATTTTTTATGCGTTTCTTATAACAAAAAAAAAAAACGATACTTTATTGGCATCAACGGCGAATGCGGTATATTTTCGGGTTTTCTAATTGATGAGTTTGTTAGCATTTCTCTGTTAATTACGGTTATTAATGTACTCAGTTTGATACTACCTGTATATATATATATATTCTCACATTTAGCGAATTTTTAAAATGTCAAGCGTTCCAACACCCGTAGAAAATAATATCGTGAGTAATAATTACAATCGTTATTTGGTATATTGAAAATCAACAGTTTTCATAATAATATCCAGTTAAAAAAAAGCGTAAATCTATTGTTTGTTTTGTTTTCGATCGGTTCAATTTCAGTTTTTTCTATATCAACACTCGCTGTAAAAGTAATGGTAAAATAGATACATATTTTATTAACGTTTGTTTTGCCCACTTTGTCACCACAGTTCGCAATTGTTATTCATTTCATTAACTCGCTAGCTATTGATATTTACGGTTAAGAAATAATGAACAACGATTCGCCATTACATCATATTTACGGCCTTCGGCGTAGTACTTCTGTAAAATACTTTAGTTTTTTACCAATATACCAATAAGGTATTTGCCAATGTCGGCTGTAGTCCGTAGCACACGTAACTTTCCAACATTCGGTGTAACATGGCATTACATCATTTAAATTACATTAAAAAAGACATTATAGTAATCTGATCATTTATTCCCTGTTATTTTGGTTAAGCATTAATGCTATTATAAATTAACATGTGGACCTATTTAGCAATACTAAAATAGAAGGACTGAAGTGTGTTTATTCTAATTTTTGATAATTTATGAAATTTTACTTAATGTATTTGAAATATTTTCAAATTATTACCTTCATTATTATCAGATTACATTTTTCAATACATTTTCACACTTGCTAATACATGTGTGACTGTTGAAAAACAATAGAGATGGCATGAATAATGTTAAACTATTTAGGCTTACTTATACCAAATGTTAATGTTGATCTGAATTCAATAACAGAAAGAATTTCTAAGGTAATATATGATTTTGCATTTAAATAAGTTCAATTGTAGGATATCAAAACTGATCCAATGGAAGTTATAATGGACAACAACATGGGGGACGACATCGCTAAAAAACCAACAGTTCCAAATGTTTCTAATGGAAATGTAACTGCTGGTGACATGACGTCAATGGACTATTATTTCGACTCTTATGCTCATTTTGGTATACATGAAGAAATGCTTAAGGATGAAGTTCGAACCCTCACTTACAGAAACTCTATGTATTATAACAAACATTTATTCAAGGTAAGTGTAAAAGTTATAGTCCCATTAATTGTATATAATATGATACACATTGGTTTTTAGGATAAAATCGTACTAGACATAGGTTGCGGTACAGGAATCTTATCTATGTTCGCTGCTAAAGCCGGAGCAGCTCGAGTATTCGGTGTAGAATGTTCGAATATAGTTGAATATGCAAAACAAATTGTTTCCGATAACAATATGGGTCACATTGTTACAATAATAAAAGGAAAAGTAAGAAAATTAGAAAAAATACCATCATTGTTAATACTTGAATTGAATGCGTGTAGCTATCTGACAACGACTTTCAATGAACTATTGTTATGCAAAAATATATTAATTTTCTGTGAACTTATCTTTATAGGTTGAAGAAATAGACCTACCTGATGGCCTTACCCATGTAGATATAATTATTTCAGAATGGATGGGCTATTGTCTGTTTTATGAATCTATGTTGGATACAGTATTATATGCCAGAGACAAGTGGCTGAAAGAAGGTAAAATCTATTTGCTTGGTCATTATTTTTTATTATTAAAGACAGTAGTAATTACCTAATAGATTTAATGTGCAAATAATAAATTGCTTATTTTTAAAATTATTAATCATATTTTACAGATGGTATGCTTTTCCCTGACCGTGCAAACTTGTTCATAACTGGTATTGAAGACAGGCAATACAAAGACGACAAGATTAATTGGTGGGAGAATGTGTATGGGTTCAACATGAGTGCCATACGCAATGTTGCGATAAGTGAGCCGTTGGTAGACTGTGTAGAACCAAAACAGGTAAACAAGAATTTCATAATTTTGAAAAAAATATTTGAGGAAATCATCATTTCTAGACACTGTCGAATTAATATTACTAAAAAAAAAAAGGGGAATGTTTTTTTGAAGGAAGTGATTAATTTTATATTTATTTATTTTCTTTCAAACCAGAGTTTCAATCAGAAACTGGTTGACTCGAAAAAAAATTTAGGTATTAAATTAAAATTTACATTTCTGACTATTGTTTGTGTTGATAATTTTTAATGTAAAAAATACTAATTTTGATTGTTCTTTACTTATCTTTTCACAAACTTCCGCTTCATAACATCCAAACCTTGGTCTTAATTTTGTTTTTCTTTTGTCTAACGATCGATTGATAATTAAATAAACATCTTTATAAGCTTTATACTTGTATTAATATTGCAGTTGTCAAGACAAAATAACTTCTAGGTAATAGTGATATTTATATTTTTTTAACTTCAATATAATTTTATGAAATATTTGTTAAAAGAAAAAAGAATACGTGCTTTTTTGTTCTTTCGCTCTGACATGGGAAGGGTTATGAAATAAGTTCTTAAGAAAACAAAAAATTCTTACTAAAAGTATAACCCAATACACCCAATATCTTCGCTTTATAAACAAAGTTTGTTTTAATTTTTTTATGTATATAATTTTAGGTAGTTACAAACTCAAGTCTATTAAAAGAAGTTGATTTGTATACAGTTAAGAAAGAAGACTTGACATTCACTGCTCCTTTCAATCTTCAAGTACGTCGCCAAGATTATATACACGCGTTTGTGACGTACTTTACAATAGAGTTTACCAAGTGCCATAAGCGTATTGGTTTTTCAACTGCACCCGAAGCACCGTACACGCACTGGAAACAAACCGTTTTTTACTTAGACAACTATTTAACAGTAAAAAGGAACGACGAAGTTTTTGGCACGTTCTCCATGTCTCCAAATGAACGCAACACACGAGATCTGGACTTTGTAATTGATGTTGAATTCAAAAACGAAGTCAACAACGTCTCCGAATCTAATAAATATCGTATGCGTTAAACATTTACACAAACATTCACTATTTTTTTTCTAAATTTTTAATTTAAGTAACAATCAAATATGATGATAAAAAATGTATATGTTTATTGAGGAACAAAAACACATACTTTATGGAGTATTCAATTTTATTTTGAAATTCATCTTTCATCCTCGTGGCAGATTCTTTAATATAGTTTTTATCTATATCTATATATATTTTACAAAATACATATTAAACTAGTCTTAACTAACCATGTTTTATGTAATTCGATAATTACATGTTGTAAAAAGAAGTTTTTTACTGAAATATTTTCTATTGTAATTTTAACGATTGCTACTATACAAATAAGTCAACTCGTTAATAGTTGTATGGTTTTTTTTTTTTTTATAGTAGACTCTACTTGAAACCATTGGTCTTTATAGTTTATTGTTCCTACTTTTTTTATATATGTATACATATACAATAAACAATGTATTCATATATATATTTTTTTTTATCGCAATTGTGACAAGAAAAAATGTATATTATTCATCTGCACATTTTTGTTTCGATAATAAATTACAACTCTGTTTGAAACGTCAATGATTTGTTGACTCCGATTCCCTCGACTACCATTATTCGTTAAATATCGCCTTAACTTATAAATTCATAACAAATTTATTCTACCTTTCTATTATTATACATTAGAATTACTCTTCCATTCCAGCTGTTATAAATTGTGCTAATATACGCTGTTGTTAATTAAACAAGTTTTAAATTTCATAACTTCGCAAGAAAGTCATGGACTTGAATGGATTGAAGTAGTAAACACGATAATAATTCAACAGACAATGATGTTTTATCGTTTAATGTCACATAAAAAGTACAATATTAATCTAAATAGGCACCTAATATTACAAATAATAATAATTTACACTTATAATTCTTCTAACTGATAAAAACCAAAACAAAAATACGAATACAACAATAAAAGTCGAGGAAGATCATTACGAGAAAGAAAATTGACACATTTTACCAGGCTAAAAAGACCGAAAACAATATTGTCTTACCCTTTTTTTTTTTACATGTATAATAATATACAATATCGTACCAAACACAATAGGTTATATTTTTACTGAAAAATATAGTAAAAATATAATTTAACTTATTATTTACATTTACGTATCATTTTACATACCAAATTTTAACCCATTTTTTTTTATTCAATATAATATATGTATACAAAACAAGACATAAAAAAAAAAAAAAAAACTAATGACATGTTGGGTAAAACATGTTGACGCTCAATAGTGTCTGTGATTATGTTTTTTTTTATCTTTCAATGTTGTAATATAAGTCTCATTATCACAGTTTTCTAGATGTTAGAACATAAAAAATAAAAATAACTCTAGAAGTCAGTCTTTTATCAAGTTGAGCGCTTAATATATTCCCAAATGGTCATCAACCATTAGTGTACATCGGTGTGAAGATCTGCAAGAATACATGTAAATACTTTAATATTTGTGGATGATATGGTGGGAGTGGTTTCCCGTTTCCATCTGCACCAGTCGGGTGGCCATTTCTTTCTCCAGACAGTTGCCCCCGACCAGTGACAGAGGTTCGAGCCACGGCTAAAACGTAGAAGCACTGCCACGTTAAACCTCTTGGCCACGTCAAAACCATACTATTTTTTTTTTTAGAAAATTCAGCAAGCGTTGTTGCTTACCATTTAAATGGCCTTTTGGCTGGCTTGTAAACTCTTCAGTGCACTGTCACAATCTGTGGTATCTATATCGTTCAGATTTAATCCTAATCGTTCAATTTCTGCGTAAGTTCCAAACGGTATCTTCCCCAAACACTCCAACTTAAGTATATGCATTTTTGAACGCAAATGCTTCGCTAAATGTCCGTGAATTCGAAAACCCACTTGGCAATCGGCACACTCGAATGGTCTTGGGTTTTTGACGACCGCACTTTGAGTGGACATGGTGTTCACCTAGGGTAAACAAACGACATCATTTAACAATTATTAATTTTTATTTGAAATAAAAAATTGAGGTTATATTTTTTTACTTCTTCAAAACTAATCGAGAATATTTACTTTGTTTAAATGAGAGCTGGAATCTAAATGTTTTTGTAGGAGATGTTTAGTGCGGAATGATTCTTTACACGGTTCGCATCGGAATGGTTGCTCAAAGTAATGTATGTTTATGTGCAGTTGTAGTTGGCTAGGTTTATTGAAAACTTTATCACATACCATACACTTGCTTCGGCCGTCTTCCAAAATACTAAAAACATTTTAAACGATTACATATTGGCCATCATCGAACAGATATATTGATTTACAGTCATAATAATATTTTATATGCTATATGAATTAGATACGTACCTAGTATATTTCTGTGATGGGCCATTTGTTGTAGGCTGCCTAAACAGTGCTTTTGGCTTTTTCGGAGGCGATACGATTGTTGGCGTTTTAGTAGCGTGTTCTACTTCTTTATTTCCTGCGAAACGTGATAAATCCATAGGTTTGTTGCCCATCGCTTTTTGACCGTTATTTGGTATAGAATTAAACTGTCTTAAATCTGTAGCAGTGGATTGCACAGTTACGGGCATAGTGTTGGGAACAGTCAACGGGTGACTGGTCGAAACCGCTGAATAGTTACTAGACTGCAGAGATTGACTGACTGGTTTTACAGGTACGATTTGTTGATGATTTGTTTGGACCTCAGGTTCAGTTTGTGGCAAAGGAGATTGATATGGGTACGATACCGGTCGATGGTCGTAAGGTAGAATGCCCGCCTTTGCGTGATTAGTTTGTGGCGATTGAGACGGACAAACTTGAGATAGCCTCAACAAAGAACGAGCAGCATCAAAATCGGATTGAGATTTACGCCAACCAAGCCTGTCCAAAGTGTCATCGTCATCTTCATCCTCGTCCATATCATCTTCTTCGTCCATGTTGTCTTCTGAATAGTCTTCCATGTCTTCAGAATCCAGCTGTTTTACTTCATCCGACGATGATGGATTAAGATCTTGCTCAACTCCCTTCTTGAAATGGGCTTTGGATTTCATATGCTTAGTCAGGTTACCCTTTGTCTTAAAACTGAAAAAAAAAACAACCGAGCATATTAACTTATTTCATAGGAACGGTTGAAGTAATTGTCAACCGTAGTAGAAAAGTAGAATATCTTACCTAAATGTGCATTGTGTACAAGTATAAGGTCTCAAATCAGTATGAGTCCTGATATGTTTCTTTAACATGGACGGTTTTTTGCAGCGAATTCCGCAGTCAGCACAAACATATCGTCCCCGACCTCTGCCCCTTACGTACACGTAGTCTTCATTTGACTCGAAACCACCAGGACATATTTTCAGTTTACCGGCCGAAGGGATTTCCACTTTGTTCGACTTGTCCGAAGCCTTCTGATGTTTGTAGGAAGAATGAGCAACCATGTAGTCGTGAGACTGACCTGCCAGAGTATACCTATTGTTTCGCTGACTCGAATCGTACAAGTCCATACCTCGAACACCCAACACGTTATTCCCCACATCGGTACAGATCTAATTATTGTGAAACAAAATTTTAAAAAAAATGTTTATCCAATAAACTTGCAAACATGGTAAAAAATCTTACCTTCCAGTTAGAGTACATAGATATGTTATTGACTTCTGGAAGGATTGTGTACGTCGGTTGGCATTTGGTGAGTGTACAATAAAATACCCTGGTAGAACATTTAAGCCCCAGATACGTGTAAGCGTGACCATTCAAATAGAGTTGCTGATAACTTTTCTTCGGTCTCGGCGTGTCCGGACTGACAACAGGCAACATCCGGTTTGTACTGAAGGTACCGGGTTTGAACGCCAGTGATGTTGGTCGTACAAATTTTTGGGCCATCGTTGTACTTGTAGTTACCGAAGTAGTAGTAGTGATCTGAAAAAAGAACAATGTCAATTAATACATTTTTTTTTTAAATGCTTAAATCCACTCTACTACAATACTATTTTAATATTATATTTTTGTTATTGTTAATCAACTCATCAATAAATTATCGTTGTATCGTAATAGAGCTACCAGGAAGACACCATTTTCCCGGTGGCCTCGTCTGCGCTTAATTTAATTGAGGCTTTTCTCATAGTCTCGTATCTATTACACATCACAAGTTATAATTTACATCATAATTAGTGCTTACACATTGCAATTTAAATACACCTAACCGTTTGGACCAATTAGTTGAAAATATTTAATAATTTGAGTTTAAACCACCAATATGAAGAGTATCTATCTATCCTATTACAACAACAACAACATAATATAGATAGTATACAGATATGATATAGTACACATTATAGGTCATATTCTAATAATTTAGCCTATGCAACATATTAGGTAGGTACTATCCCAACAAAAGAGACTTGATAGGTCAAGTGGTTGTTATGCGAGTTACCTATGTGATAGGTTAATAATAATAATAATAATATAGTTATGGCAAACCACGTGAATAATTCGACATCGACCAAGGTAATACAACTACACTATAACACCACGTCTAGATTCATCTCAATGTCAACGAGTCTAAATTGAATTGGTTATATCATAATGATTTATTTATAATTCTATTCAGTTGTATACATAATATTACGCACGTTATTGTAATGGTACTAAGTGTATGCACGGATGGTTTAACAGAAAACAAAAATGTGCCTGTTATACTATTTTTGAGAAGTTTTGTTTATTAATCAGTCTTATATATGGTATTAAACCACAATAACGCGAAGCGGCTATAAAGCTAGGTATGACTATTAGACATAAAGAATAAAATATTAAAAAAAAAAAAAAAACTATTAATGTAAAAATGCTTAGTAGTCATATATATATATGTATATTTTTTTTTTACTAAATAATTGCCTGTTCGGTTAGTGCTAAATTATTTAAAAATATACAGTGTATAATTTTTTTTTTTCAACGATTTTGTGACAAAAATATTGCGCATACATTTAGATTACTGTTTCGTAGCGATTTTCAACAATTTATTTTTGCCATAAAACAATTGGAAATTATTATTGTTTGGACGTATTCGCAGGAATTAAAAACGATTATTTTTCAGGGAAAATGCATTTTTTTATTTTTATACTAAACAATCATATGAAATATGACAAATTTGGTAGGTAATTTTTGTAAGAAAGTAGAAACCATAATTTAAATATACCAGGTTATTGCATATTTACCCCCTCTTCCTAACATTTTCAGACGCAAAATAAAAAATGGCACCATAACGGGCAGCGTTCTTATTGGTTTAAATTTATTGACTGATAAGCTATTTTTCTCTTATCAGTTTACAGTGTTATAAGTCTTACACATGAACAAAATATAAGAAATTCTAGTTTTTAATTTGGATTTTTTATTCGATACAGATTTTTTAATTGTCTATATATATTTTATAATGTGAAATAAAAAATTTATCTAAATAAGAAGAATGGACAAATAAATAAAAGTGTTTATAGTTTAATTAATATTAGTTGTTTATTAATTGTAATTATAATTTTCCGGCTTGTTCGATTAATTTATTATTTTTTTCTTCTATTTCTTTATTCAGTTTTTGTGTGTATAAAATTTGATTTTGTTTTTCATCATAACTTAGTTTCATTTTTCTTTTCTAGGGGCTCTCATAGGTGGTATTAGTAACTTGTATTGGAATAAGTATTTTTTAATTGATAAAATTGTAAAAATACAATTTTTGTTTTCAAATTTACGCAGGTAAATATCGGCCAATGAGAATGCCGCCAGTTACGCTGCCATTTTGTGAAAAAATAATCACATAGAGTGGGGATATGCAATAACCTGGTATATTTTAATCATGGTAGAAACCCTTTTTTTTTAATGCATAAAAAATGTTGCCGTTGAAAAACGGGATTTTATTTTTTTTGGTTGAAACCAGTAACCACAGTTACTGATAACTGATAACCGTGATTATTATTTGAAAAAAAACGGTAAATTGAATTTATTTTAAAACTGACAATATTTTTACCACTATTGTTAAATGTGCTTTAAAATATATTATAAATCAGTCTAGTACTTAAAAAAAAAAAAACGGTAAGCATTTAAATCAAAATTATTATTGTCAATGTAACGGCGCCGAATAAAGTAAGTAAAACGAGGAACGGCAAAATCAAAAATAACGCAGTCAATTACACACGGTTACCTACGTTTTATATTATAATAATAATTTCAATATGATTTTTAAAATTGAGCTAATATTTACATTATAATTATTATTATTTACCGTACACTAACCGTCATAATGTTGTGTTATTATAAACGATAAATTTAATTAAACCTATACAATCGATTTTGTGGTTATATAAAAAAAAAATTATAATAACTGCGACTCTCGCGCGTCACATAATAATAATTAAAAAGCTCCGATTGATTTTAATAATTGTAATTCCACGCCTTTGTTAGTTACATAAGGACGATAAATTATACTTCTGAGGAAAAGTAAACCGCAGTTCAAAACTCACAGAAAATTAATTAATTACTTAAAAAAAAAAATGTTTATATACTTGTGTGACTACTATTACACAATATCGCACGTTTTCTAGAGTTTAACTGATATATACAATTAAAGCTCACCAAGAGTAGGTACTTAGATAAAATAAAAAAAACTATCACCAAACGACCTAAACCCTCGAGTTAAGCCGCACAAAAATAACTCATAGACATGAGTCTCGTGAAAAAAAAACAAGAACCTACCATTTGCTACCACGTGGAATAATAATTAGTATCAAACACCTATTTAAGGAATGTAGAGCCTACGAAGAGGAAAGAAACAATTGACAGATGTCAAATTACATTATATTACTCAGTCCTTGGCACCAGACACAACGTCTAGCCACAAAATTATCATACTTCTCAAAAACACAAGACAACCAACAACCGGCTTCAGATCAATAATTTATTTTTTATTTATCTTCTTGTATTGTTTTCGTTTGTGCTTACATTATGAAAACAACTTAATGACACTCGACCAAACAATAGTTTTTTTACTTAGTGGACGCCGCACATGAATTTAACACGAGTTGACTTTTTTGATACAGCTCTTCCAAAAAAATTGTCTTACAGGAAAGTTACTTATAGCATCTGAAAGTTAAGAACTTTATCTGTGTGGCCTCAACGAGTTTTTTTTTTAATAACGCAGTTAGTTTTTTATTCAAACAAAGGTAAAAAAAAATTCTTTTTTAAGCACTCATTTTGGTTTTTATAATTAAACTTAATTATAGGCCATAAATATACTTAATAATTTGGAATTTACCTGGTGTGAAGTGGATATAACGTATTCGTCTTCCAGTTTTGTTTTTTTCGAGGGCGGAGGTTCAGTCTGCTTGGCGTCGTACTGGTGCCGGATCTGGTGCGGCGGCGGCGGCAAAGCCGTATGCGGGCCCGGCATTCCAGGCACAAACGGTATGGCCCTTCCGCCTTGCAAAATGGCCAACATGCCGTGCTGCTGCTGTCCTAGGTCGTCCATCCGTACGAACACGGCCGGCTTTGCGGATACGTCGGCCGGCTCGTTGGACCTGTGGAATTCGACTAGGGGCGTACGGCCCAGCAGCGGGCCGGGTGAGGGCAGCGGCATGGCCACAGTCTTGGAGTCGTGCGGTTTGTAATTCGACGGGCTCGTGTCGCACACGTGCCTGGCCAGGTCTTCGTGGCTGTTGAACTTGAGGCCGCACATTTTGCAAACCGGCCGAACCTTGTTGCTGCCGACGCCGCCGTTGCAATTGACAATCTGATTCAACAACAGTTTGTAAACGCCTTTCAATTCGGGCCGGTCGTTTTCGGCCGGCACGCCGGTGCCGTTTTCCGTGCGTTTTTGCTTTACCGCCGTCACGGACAGGTTCAACGGTTGGGTCGCGTCGTACTTGGGCGCGCTGAGCGGCAGCGGCTGCTGCAGCACCGGCGGCCGCCGCACCGCTTCCGGTGTCCGTTGGGCGGGCGGCTCGGCGTCGTTGCAGAGCGCGTCGTCTTCCGGCGGTTTGGCGTACAGGGAGGCCGTGCGGAATTTCGGTTTGTATATTTTCGGTTTGGCCGCCGCCGCAACCTCTTCCGGCGGCGGTTCCTCTTTGGCCAGCCTTTCGGTGTGCGACTGCGATTTGCAGTGTTTCGACAGGTTGCTCTTGGTCTTGAACGCGAAGCCGCACGTGTCGCACGGGAACGGCCGTTCGTCCGAGTGCACCTGCAAGTGTTTGGCCAACGCGCTGGGCTTGGTGCACACCGTCTTGCAGTAGGGACACTTGTGCCGCCAGACGCCTTCCACGCCGTACTCGTCTGTGGGCAACGCGGGCGTGGCGGCGACCACGGCGTCGGCGGAATAGTCGTCGGCCGTGGCAACTTTTTTGAATTTTTTATGCAAGTAGTTGCCCGTCGTCAGCGGAGCCGCGGGCGGCGCCGTTTTGTCTGTACGGCATATGACATCTGCGGACAAAGAAAAAAACGTCAATATTTTTTCTTTAAGTCACTTTTTAATAAAACCTCCACAAGTAACAACATGTTTCAGGGAAAACGTGTTAACCCCATTTAAGGGGTTAGCAAGTACTTAGGCATGCCCCCCCCCCATAAAAATAAAAATATGTATAGAACAAATTTACAAAATTAACTATTCTTAATGCGATTGCTGGCAAAAGTTTCGATGACATTCAGGAATCAAGTATTAATAAATACAAATTTGGATTACACCATGAAAATGAATGCAAATACAATTTATTTTATTATTAAACGGTTTACGGATTAAAAAACTAACATTATATTAAATTATCATACCGGATGTTTTTTTTAAACGCCCATAACTATAGTTTACTTTGGAAATAATTTCATTTTTTTTTTTTTTTTAAGCATTATTATTTGCGTTAAAGTACAATATTACTTTTTCAACTTTTCAAACTTAAATAGAAATAAAAATTATATTAAAAACATTGTGTAAAAATGGTTATTTTAATTAGTTTGTCATACTCTTGTTTTGAAGAAAGTATAATATATAATTTAAAGTTACCGGTTCTGTTTATATTATGTCAAGTTTATTCATAAAATTATTTTCTTCTGTATAATATGTTTTGTTACTTATTTGTTTATATTGTTTGAGCGTTTTAACCACAAGCTATGCTTAGAAGAGATGGATAATCAAAAATTGTATTTTATGTGTATTTTTTATGTATATATTGTCTCAAATCTCAATAAACAATGCAAATGTATATATATGTAAAACTTTTGGTTTTGATTTTATTTGTATAACTTAGCGTTTTGTACACCCCATTCGCTGATAAACGGCTACAGCAAAACACGGGACTTCAACTCACTAATGAAACGACCCAAAATATGGCCACTATAATATAACAGGCAGTTTTGGAGTTAACTATACTGCGTTGCCATCCATTGGGCAAAAGGGGCGCGTGGCCCTTAAAAAAAAAATTCAAATTAACGTTTTTTTTAAAATTATTGTGAAATTAATAAAAATATATGATTATTAGTAATACAAATGTACTAATGGTGAGTTCTGTATAAAAAAACTGGTTAAACTAACTCTGTTAGAAACTTTTGAGGGAGGGAGTCGTTCTACATAATATGTTATATATATATATATATATATATATATATATATATATAATAGGTATATAAACATATTATCAACGAGTATTGTTGTGCGGTTACAGCCGATTTAAAATGAGTAATCCGAAACGTAGGACGAGGCTATGCCCTATTGATCACCACCACACACACACACACACACAAGTATGTAGTAGTTGACCGTGAAAAATGTGGTCCACAATCGCCAACAGCAACATAAAATAACAATACTATCACAGTTAATATAGTTTATCACTATTGCCAATATTACCATTTAACGCCAGACTAGGTGTACCTAATACAACCGATTATAATAATAAATATTATTATTTAATTATTCCAAAATACACTGGCCGTTTAGGAGAGGAGCAGTTCCATCTTTAACCCTAAGAGCAGCACGTGGGACACGTTTTCCACACACAATTTCAATTTATATTTGATCACCAGATAGAACGTTTTTTTTTTGTACACAATGATTGTTCAAAAAATTTAATCTATTCGGTGAACGTTACAAAAGTTCTGTGAAAGAGTAAGGTCGACATATACTATAAAAAAATAAAATCATTATTGTGTAGTTTACTATGAACAAAAATAAAAAAACATTTATTGAGCCGAACTGTTGACGTTTTATTTTTATTTTCGATAATAAAAAGTCATTTTAATGAAAACTTTACGATGCCCCCCCACCCCAACTTACAACCCAGAAGATTTATGCCAAAGTCTGTTTCCCCTGTTGAAAATTACACTGCATGTCTGTTACGATGAAAAATGTGTACTCAAATTTGTCATTAAAATAATAAAATTGAGTTTATAATCTAAAAATTTGTTTTTTTTTGTGTTGCTCAAAATTTGAGACATTTTCTAACTTTATTTTTAGAAAGCTGAGATGGTTTTTACCTAAAATGTGTACATTTCGAATTGGGTTCTCAATAAAAAAAAAACGCTCAGAAAAACAACACAAGAGGTGAACTACTTTCATATAAGAGTAATAATAATATAAAATTGATTACAGTTGATTTTTGCCAAAAATTTGACTTTACCATAAAGCTGAATAATATTATTATTGTGTTGTCCACTCACTTTTGTGTTCGTTGTGACTGGGACTCATGTCGATCCCTGTGGTATCGTCAACTAAAAAAAAAAAACAAAAAACCCATTCGAGATTAATAAAACAAATGGTAACAACGACAAAATAATAATTTAAAAAATGTGTACATTTTTTTATTATTAAAAACACAAAAATAATAATACACGGTATATTCGGCCAGTGCGCGGAGACGGAGAAACGCTATGGCGGTTGTGTATTTGTGTATTGGAAGTGTGTTAAATATTTATAATACATAATAATAACATAGAACCGAGGTCAATGGAATTGTACAATAATTAATAATGTAATCATCATCATCATCATCAACAACACGGTTCGCCGTCGTACCGGCTGCGTAGTAAGACAGCTGTATAGCACAACACAGTGTACGATGGGTCGCGGCGGATTGAACGCTATAATAATAATAATGTACCGGCGGCCGCGGTTGTATGTTGCACGTACGTGGGCAGAGAGCGCGCATAACTCGGACGGGCCAAAAGCTAATATTAGCGTCGCCCTAAAGACAAAAAAAAAAAAAAAAACGCCACCCGGCGGCCAAATAAATATACACCATTTTATTAGGACTGTTTTTATTCGGCTCGGGAAAAAAATAATAAACTACCGCGACTCCGTCGTAGGAGGCTGCGGTCGTCGTATCCTCCACTATCCTTCCCATTCACGTCCAAAACCAGAAGGGATCTCCCCGGGCCGTTCAAGGTCGCAAGAGAGCTGTAGTATATTATAATGAGGTTTTTTTATTTTTTAATTGTTTTGGGTTTTTTTTTTGTGTGTTGTGCTTACTACGACACGGACGCGGCAGAGGCGACCGACCGAGAGGAGAACCGGTTTACCACCTGTCGCGCGCGGCGGACCCGGAGATCACTGCGCTAAAAAAAAAACACTAGGGCGGGAGGTGACGGGGAACAGGAGGAGGAGGAGGTGGTAAAGGAAGCTATGATGACCGGCAATGCAGTAAAACGAGAGGACAGGGGATAAAGAGGAGGGACCGGGTAGTACACAACAAACGGTATACAATAAGCATTAGGCCGGTGACCACAGTTTTTTAGTTTGCGTCCGACCACGCGATCTTCGTCCACACTTATAGTCAGTCAATAGGTCGGATGCTGGGGCGGTGGAGTGGGCGCGCCAGACTTAAAAATGTCACCAAAGTGAGAATTAAATACAACTTCGTTTCGCACCCATAAGATAGAATCGGTCGTAGATAGCTTGTGTAAAGGGTTAAGGGTTGATTTTGATCTTGGCCAAACAGTAACTTTGACTTAAATAATTTTCCCAGCGCAAAGTGACCTTTATTAGCTGCTGAAATCCTTAGTTGTATGCATAATATTATTTGTATTATTTATATTAGTTCCTAAATATTTAAAGGTAAGTATCACAGCTTGGGAAGAGTGCGATTTCCGACCATTAGGTCCTGTTCGTCTTTAGTTCTACTGTCTATGACCATATACTACTCACTTTCTCCAGTGCTACCCCTATTACAGTAGTCTAAGAAAACAACTAGTTCCTCGTCAGTTATCACTGTGCAGACCAAAGTGGAAAGAGGAATGGCAACGAGGGTGTTTAGTGACAGAATGATATTGTAATTTGTAGGAGTGAAAGGAAATCGCAAGGAAGTGAGTGTTGGGCGGCAACGGACAAGAGAAACGTCGGAGGAAAGCGGGAAAGTAGCTAAAGTGAGAATGTGGGGAGAGTAAAACACGTGATTATAGGTTAGACATAATTATAGAAACGAGTGTAATGAAGTAGTTGGGGAGTTGCATCAACGTCGGCCACGAACGGGTTAGGATCTAAACTTTAGATTCTAAAGATTTAGAGCGAATGTTAGACGGACAAAATGAGAGGTGGAAGGATAATGTTATAAAAATATACAAGTGCGGAGTAGATACAGAGAGGATTGCGGTGGCCGAGCAAGAAGTAATAAGACACAACATTAAATACAAATTAATGTACATACCACTGAACTTGAAATAAAACCACTCGTCAATAAGAGTAAGAATTTTTATTTGAGCTTGAACCAATCAACTAAGTGCACGGCACGTTCGATAAAGTTAGAAGGGCATAATATTTGTATAATTGAAAGCGATCCATTTTCATTGCTTGGAAAACTGAACGAGTGGTGTTAAATAAATTATATTATGTCATATTATGTCAGAAAAAAGAATGTTTCAGTTTTCTTGAGCACTCTGTTTCAGGTAAACTTCCGAATTCTTTCAACTTTGGAAAAACTAACAAAATACATACACTGTTGGAGGTCAGAACAATATGAAACATAATATAATTACACTACACGCAATTAGACGTCATGTCTATATATTATAACAATCTTCTAAAATAAATTATTTATTATTTACCTTCTATTGTTTGTTTCGTTTAAAATTATTTACTCGATACAACATTTTCGTGCTAAGAAATTACAATTGTTTTGTTTTTTAGTTTATTAACATATGTTACAAAGACACATATTTTATTATGGTAAAACAAAAAAATACAACCGACACGCATTGTTGATAACGCGTAAATATTATTGTACAATACATAATTTTATTGATACGACGAGTTAGTTAATTATTTGATTAGTGTATTAAAATTTAACCAATAAACAAAGGAAACGCGGTATTTTTTTAAACGTTCATAACCGAATTTACATACATATACTTATAAATTACACGTGTAGACACGATTAATGTCTATACCTACGTATAATTATGTATTGATTTATAAGTAGCCCGTTTCGAGGCTTATGCGAAAAACAATTCATTTTTTTTTTTATGTTATCACACGTCTACTCATCATCGGTGGTTATATTTGTGTATACAACAGTATGGTTGGCAGCTGCTGCAGCCAACGTAGTTTGAATTACATAAACTATGATAAAATTCTAAACTACTATTCCTCCTCCTCCGTTATAGATAAACAAATAAATTGCTCGCTGTTTTTACACTTAATTATCATATTAAGCGTTAAACGCGTGTGTCCGTGCGATAATTTGTCGCGGGTTGGACGAAAGCCAGTCAAATTATTTAAAACGACGCGAGTTGTGGAGCCAGAAAAATGATCGATTTCGACGTTTGTGTAATGTTAATGTTATTATTATACATAATGACTACCGCGGGAATGATAATAAGAACAGAAAGATGAGCTATTCAGGTTGTCCTCCAGTGAGAGCAATATCGGATTTACCACAATAGTAAGCCCAAAAATGTGGTTAACAAGTTGTTTTCGTGCACTCTAGTATAATAATGACTGCATAATTAACAATTATTGCGGACTGCAAGCAAAGATATATTTTGGAAAACAATTTTTAAACACCTAACCTAACCCAACCCGGTGGTATACGATTTCTGTTACCGCAGCGGTTTCGTCGACCGAGTGCGGCAAAATCGGGTCGTCTGCTTGACCTACCTACCTACCTAATTATGGGCTATAGGCTATGGCTATAATAGTATAATTTATAATGATAGCACCGCCGAATATACCTAGCAATGCGATCCGTCCAACGATCGAATCATAACCACCGACTTTCGAGTAGTAAAAAAAATGAGCTCACATTTACATTGTAATTTTCCCCACCACTTGGCCACCACCAAATGGACCAAATGTCAGTATTGAATTATTTAGCTAATTTTCAAAGCAGCGTGTAGCCGTATTTACTTTATGGTAGTAGGTATTGCATTTTTAATTCATCCAACTTCATCCCAAAACAAGGCAGTCCACTTGATAGATTGTAAAACGCCTTAAGTAGTCCAATTTTAAGACGGTTTTAGAGAGAGAGAGTATATCATAACATTCGAAAATGACATACTCGAAATCATGTTTCTATTTTAAGTTGGCAAGTTTAATAATATTATTTATGAATTTCGGTACCAGGGTCCTATAGGTAAAGTGTACTACAAGACAGAAGGCCACTGGCTCGCGATTGACCTAATAACAATTTTTTTACAGACCGTTAAACGTATCAGCGACCAATGTATTTTTTTCCCCGTCCGGTAGTATACAACGGTACGGTTTACAATAACCGTGGCAAAATAACTTGGCCTAAACCCGACCGGCTCGCTCTGTTGAAAAAAAACGCTTTATATATATATTTGTTTCCAGTATTCTTTAGTTAAACAGCACACGAAGAAGAAGAAAGGACCTCGACGAGCACGGATCTACTAAATATTCACAAATCCTATTAAAACCGGTTTTTTTGGAACGATGTGAATGCGATAATTCGAAATGTTCGTGCAGTTGATCAACGAACACCACCAAGTTGTGTGTAAACATATTCCTGACAAATTTTCATCGATCAGGGGCTCTGTTAATTTTTTAATTCGTTTACCAGCACCAGCCAACGTCTTAGTACTTGTTACCAATCAAGGGACATTTACAGGCGGGATTGATAGCAGTGGGTTTTGTATCTTCTTCTTTTCTGGCTTCTACAGACCATTTAGAGAGCCTACGCTGAATTGATATTAGGCTTCAGGCACATTCGGTAAACTTCTCCAAGTGAGGTTTTTTGTAAAAGCGATATTTAAGAAAAACAGTGGTTCTACATGTTTCATGTTTCCACTTGGAACAAGTTTCTTTTTCTTGGGTTTATTGGGCCCTTAGGACCATCCCGTCTCACAATCAAGTCTCCAACCTTGTCTGTCCGTCCAACGATAGGTTCCTCCAATTAGGACCATCTTCTCGGCGCATTCTCGGTGTTCTCAAAGGTCTTTTCCCTACAGGGGGGTTCTGTTATGTCACTGTTTGTTTATTATTTACATAATATGTAATCCTACTTTTGGCAAGTACGTTTTCGAAAATAATCCGATTGAAGTTTTGTAAAAAAATACACTTGGATTCTTCAAAAAACGTTTTACAAGCGGTTATTTTTTAAATTATTTTTGGTCAATTCAAAATTTCTAAGTGAAAAATTGCAATAATTGAGCTTGGTCGCACTGTTGACCACTACGCACAGCGAACGCCCACCACAACGTTCGTCCACGCGTTACTACTTTCTATGTGGCTGGCGTACAAAAAAAAAATACCGAGTTAC